AGGGAGTACTAGTAAAGGAAGAAATAGAATGCGAAGGGGATATTATATAACGAAATATTCTATTTTCTATTTTAATAATATATTCCTTTATATAAAGATTAGTATATACTTATACTCCATTTTCAGATTGATCTAAATAGAATAATCTCGAAAATATATATTTAGAGAAGTGGAATACAAAAAATTTAGTATGTACTTTTTTTATATAGTGCATTTATTATGCGAGGCACGAGCCAAACGGACCCTAATCTTTTATATTATAAAACACTTTTAAAATATATATAGTCAGTATACGATAATGAATTTTTTTTTCGAAAATTCATATACAATATTATATTCAATCTTCAATATTAGTGTACTTCTCAAAACAATCAATAAAACAAAATCTAAAGAGATATTATTTAAGAATACTATTCAATCTATATGAATATCAGTTTAATATATCTCCGGAGGACGAGCTGCGATGTAGGAACTGAGGTGCCCTAGAAAAACGATTCGAAGAGTGCAGCGAGGCGAATTGTTTTTCCGGTACCGAGGGGCCGAAGTCAAAGCTTGTTTATATATATAACAAACAATAAAAAGCCTACTCGAGTACTTGACATTGTACACACATACCAGTATCATATCATAACGAAATCACATATTCAAGAAATCCATATATATCACATAACCAAAAGAATACAGTGAGTGAGATTCACAACAACTTTTGTATATTCATTCATGAAACTTGTTATATACCATACTATACCATACCATGAACCTACCTTCTCAGCCTCATTCCCTACTCCCATCCCATGCTATCCCAACTCACACTTAAAATCTCACCATTCTCACCATTCTCACCCACTCAAATTTATATTCAAGTCCAAGCTTAAACCTGAACCATTTCCTCCACGATTTTCTCGAGAAAATACCCCTACAGCTTTATTAATAAGCTGCCTGCCACCAATCGAAGTGAAGTGAAATATAAACAAATTGATAAAAACCGATGCTTTCTTCTCTGATCGGCTCAGAATTGCATCACCCATATTGAAGCCCTACGATCATTGTTCTTCAAAGACAAGAACGTATACTCTCCCTATCCACCCATGCCATGCCATCCTTCCAACCAAACCAAAACCAAATGCATGCCCTACGAATCCGCCTTAAATGAGAAAATGGAATCATAATGAAAGAAAGAACCGACTCCCAGACTCCATCGCTAATTGAAAAATTTGTACTGCAGCCCATATTGGACCTGATTTAATACTTGGACATAGAACACGTGCTCAAATCCCTAATGATTTGTCCCCAAGTGGTATTCTCATTCCATGCCAATGTATTTTCCCCCGGTATGCCATTGATCCACCCCATGTGCCAAATTGCCAAAAATGATGATGAATGAATGAATGACTCCAAATAATGCCCAGATAGTGAAACTGAAATGCCGAAGAAAAAAAAACGTTGACTAGAATCCTATCGAAGACGGAACTGATGCATGGGACTTCAGACCGACTCCTGAGTATCGATGCCCACATTCGCAAAAAAAAAATTGGTATAGTGTCGTCAAGGTTGAGAAGTACCCTGCAATAAACCGCCTAATATTGAAGGAACTCGCTAGTCTCCGACCAGCATCAAGGAAATCGTGCTTCAAGAAAATCCCTAACGCATCGAAATGCTTAGAATGATCCTAGATCTGTTAGAAGTGCTGCTCTTCTCTCTCGGCGCTTTGCAGTGCCTCGAAGATCTGAGGACTCCTCCAATAGACCTTCACCCATACTGCTAAGGCCATAATCTCGCTTCTTTCCAGCCATCATGATTCTGATTTGCTCATCCTTCCCACACAGACCTTCGGTAGCAAAGTCGCAACGTTCAAATTCCATGATTCCGCCCCTCAAGGAGTCGCAATTTGCAACAATCAGCTCCTGACCATCATTAGTAAAGTCGAAGCCTCCAATCTCTCCAAAGAAGCTTAGAGTCTGTTTGCTGTCAAAAGTCTCAGCGTTTATGATATTGACATAATCTGCTGGTTCCGCTGCGACCAAAATCGGCCTACCAGAACCTAAAGGAGAAAACTTGAGCTTCCTCACACCAGCCATATCTGCAGCGATACTTGCTACCGGACGGTTCCAATATCGAGCATCCCAAATCTTCACTTGCATGTCTTGATTGCCAGTCGCTACCGTCCATCCATCCTCGGACCAGTCACACGCAAATCCAAAATCAAGATGACCCTCAAGTTCTTGTAAAATGTCCCCTGTATCTGAATTGCAAATCATGACTTTGCGAGTATCGCCGACCAATACACGTAGGCGTCGATCCGGTGATACGGCAGTACAGTTCATAGCATGATCATATATGTGCTCCGAGATGAACTTGTTGGTTGTAACATCAAGAGTTCTAATGCCCGAGTCATTCGAAGCAAAAGTAACCAAGGGTGTCGAAGACCTTGAGAGATGGACTTGAGCATGGTTTGTTATGTCGTTTGGCTGCTCTGTGATTACGCCTTCAATGTGTTTCGTGCCATTTTGAGCCCTGGTACTATTCAAGGCGTATTGCCCCTCAAATCCACCTGCAACAACAATATCGTGACCGCTAGTCAGAGTGGAAATCTGACATCCGTTCGAGACAGAATGAAATGCCGGTATTCTTGGATTGGCAAGGTCTATCAACACAGAAGGAGTGGATGCGATGGTAGGGTTATAATGCAAAACCTTTGTTTTTGCGGCGTATAATATACAATCTTGTGAAGGGCAGGTGATCAAGTTGCGCAATTGAAAATGTCGGATATGAACGTTATGTTGAAAGTCCATTTGCCGAAATTTGAAGTAATTATCGTCATTTCCAAGTCTTGTGCCATGCAACTGTCGGGGCTGATTTCATTAGAATAGTAAACAATCCGCAAAGTGAGAGTAAACTTACATGAAGTTGTGGGCGATTAGGGTATATGAGAGTGGTATAATTTTTGTAGGTGATCCGGCGCCTTTGCCTCGCCTCCAATCGTGTCACACCCAGGTCTTTCCAGTTGATTCTCTGGATGTCGCATTCCTCTCCCTGAAGGTCGCACCTCCTTACGGGCTCAATATTGTCGGCAAGACAATGGCTATTGATAGCAGTCTGTGAAGGAGGACCCCTCGTTCTTGTCTGGTTTGCGCCTCTGCGAGCGAGAGATGATGCCCAGTCTTCAAGAAAGTTGCCAAAATTCATGTTGAGTTGATTGTCAACTTCAGGTTGGTCAGCATCAATGCCAGCATCATGGTCAATATCATGGTCAACATCATGGTCAACATCAGATTCCTGATCATCATCCCCAGCTTCATTTAGCGGTGACGAAAATTGAACATCTGACTGGGAGACAGTTGCTTGCACATCTGAGTTGTGCCACATATCTAATTGCGCCCGCATAAGGAAAGGATTATGGAAATCAAGGAAAGCAAAGGGTGGTATACTCTGATTATGATTTATAAACATATCATGATGTTCATCTGGAGCCGACTCGAACTCTCCATGCTCCTGTCCATCCTGAATATGTTGTAGTTGTTGTAAAAAATTTGACATTACCGCTGGTAAATCCGTGGTATTGGTGGGTTCGAGTACAGGTATATGGCCCTCGGATAGATATGAGCTACCTCCTCCTAGTTGCAATGGAAAATTCGGCTCATTCAAGACATGGTATGTATAGGACGAATCGGTTGTGAATTGAAAGGGAGGATCAGGGTGCAGTCCTACCAGATTCTCCTGGCCCATGATTTCAGCATCTACTGCATCCATTTCGGCGTTGAGATCTTCTGCGTATGAAGATGTCATGGTCAAAGGCACTCCTCCATCAGACATATCCTGATCGGATTCTTCCAACACATCCTCGGAAAAGGAACGGCTTCCCGACGTATATGTATCGCCATGGTTGGTGAGAATCATACTTGAATTGCTCGTCGGTGTTGCCAGCGCAAAGAGTTGATTTGTATAGGAGGTGCCCGATTCGCCTGTTAAGGTGCGGCCATTGGATGAAGCATTCTCGTTATTATCTGCCGAATGTTCATTAGAAGGAGTGAAAGGAGTTGGAAGCATTGCGCCGTCGTCGTCTCGGCTACACTTGGTCTACCACAAGACCGGATTTCATGAATAAAAAGGTCTCGCGGGGTAATTTTTGGTGTCGGAGTAAGAGATTAAGGTTGATGGCATGAGAAAGTGAGCACACGCTAGAAGAAGTAATTGTGGCAGTTTAAGGTAATGGTTTGAATGACAATGACAGATTTAGGATCCTTAAAGCTGTACAAGATGCGCGATGCGATGTGCGATTTAGTGTTACGAGCATGGGCGGCCTCGGCCTGCCGAATTAGTATGTGTGTGCTGTAATTGAAGATGATGAGATTGAATTGGATTGGATTGGATTTGAGGGTTGGGCATAAAGGTAGCAAGTGTAAGGTGCAAGGTGTGAGAGGAGGGATGTGGTGGCGTCTCGTTCGTCGGAGTGGGTGTAGTGGTGGTGTAGTGGTGGTATAGTGGTAGTGTAGTGAGTGGTATGGTACAGTGAAAAAAAGGACGTGGTAGTTATTAATGGTTGGGGGTTGATGGTTTAGAACTTGGAGGGTTGTATTGTATTGTGTTGTGTTGTGTTGTGTTGTGTTGTGTTGTGGCAGATGTAGTGGCATGCGGTCTTCAGCGGAATAAATCCATAATTGGAAATGATGGGATGGTGGGGTTTATGGTTTATCTGAGCTTTTAAAGTCCCCGATTCTCTCATTACTGGTTAGGGTTTTGGTTGGCTAGTTGGGTAAGCACACTTTTTTGAGAGTGGAGAGCGTGGGGAGAGAGGTATTTTGATAATGAGTGTATGACAATGAATGTACTGTATATAATAATGAGTGTATAATAATGAGTGTATGATAATGAGTGTGATAAGTGTGATAAGTATATTAATAGTTGTTCTTTTGATTTATAATTATCTTCAAAATAATAATAATCATCCTTGGATTATATCTGTATTATTTATATCTGTGTTATATCTGTATCTAATTAAAAAGTCAGCCAAGAAATTGGGGTGAGATATAGATATTCTTCCTTCCGAATGGATAAATCAGAAAAACCCGGTACAATTAGTTAATAAGATAGTAGAATAAAATAATTGAAAAGGCCGATGATGGGTGATCACAATGAAAAAGGGTCGTCAGCAAATTCTTGGTTTGAAATCCATATACTTACTACCTACCTAGGTAGGTATGTAGGTAGGTGTGATGCAGAGCGGGAGAATATGTCCAATACTGCGATTTGTACCTACCTGTACTGTTGTACATCAATCAATGCAAAGTATTCTTCTCCAATAACCCAATAACCTTACCAAAATGCATGGCAGTCTGAATGGGAATTCGAAACTGCTGCGAATATTGCGGCAGATGATGTACAGAGGAGATATATGCGAGATGGTGATTGAAAGGATAAGAAAAGGATTGGCAATGAGCTTAAATTAATCGAATGCGAAAAGAAGCTATACGATATTCAAACTCACCTGCTTATTCTTCTCTTTTGCTTTCATAGCATCTCAAAACCTCAGACTCAGACTCAAACTCAGACTCAGACTCCGACTTTTTGCCAAATGATATTAGATATTGGGTCAGAATGTGGATTGGACCATTGAATCACCATTGAACCACCACTAAACTAACTACTCCTAGGCACTGTTGTCCGCACCACCCGACCGGAGGAATATAGAAAACCGGCGAACGAGAATTGAGTATTTTTATATCATGCTTTGGTGCCGTTATCGAAGTCGAAGTCGTTCTTGTTAGTGCAGCCAGCTATCGGTCTTTGTATAATAAGCCTATCGCATGTCTCATATGCTATCATACCATGCCCTATGGGTGAGCCCGGTCGTCGAGTACTCGAGTAGATACATGCATACCTCCGTATACGTCGTGAAGGGTTTTATTCTGTTTGGTGTTCATTCTGTTAGTGTTCGCTATGAGTTCCATGATTTCTTCCACGCATTCTCCCTATATGCCATCTATCTGTCTGCCCTCCCTCATTCAAAGACTTCAAAGACTTCAAAGAAATCCAAAGGACACCCACTATCTTCCCATTTCCCCGATGGCGTGTGGTGTTGCAGATGCACGATATGCATTCAAATAAAAATCGCATACGGAAATTCCTGCATTGAAGATGATTCGCGAACTTCTGATGAAAGTGTTTCCGGTTCCCAAATGGCTGCAGCTTGGCCTGGAAAAAATGATGGGACGGCCCCAGCTCTCGGAGCAAAGTTGCGAACGTGTCGTGCAGCACCTGTTGTCGTATCACCGTCTCACCGTATCATATCACCGCTGTACTGTACCTACTGTACAGTGTACATACCAGAGGATGGTGGGCACTCGCTCGTACAGAACTCAAAAATATTAATAATAAAAACTCATCATTCATCCATCCTACCCTTATTATGACTCGAGTACACACACGTAACTTGGTTCGAAAGACCCCCAACCTGGGAAACGAAACAAAATCTAGAGGAGAGTTGACTGCTCATGTTAGAAATCGCCATGGATTCCGCATTGGTGATATTTGGTGATGTTGATGATGTGTGTGATGGGAAATATCTCCAATCATTGGTTTTCCTTTTATTTTTCGAGAAAGTCATCTGCATCTGCAAGAGTTTGCAGATGGATGGTTGTGTTAGATAAGAGGGGAAAAGCCCTTTAATTCTCAGCCACGAAAGCATGCCTTTCATCAGAAATCACATTGTCCATTTGTCTCAGAAAGAAGAGATAGGCATTATAAATACTTATATAGTACATATATTTATTTTTGAATAATATTGAAAAAGTAATTGCTGACTGCTTATTATTTATGCCTTCTGTTCCATTGACTTTGCTTGGTACCAATCGTTGAAGAGAAATATGATAGATTATATTTTCCGTCCTTGAATCCATATATTTTGAGACTTAACGGCTTCCCGCATGAAACCTGAATAGTCTCTCGGTCGGATCATCATATAGAGTTTTCGGGTTATCCAACAAATCACTACTTGAGTATAGATGATGATTCAGAATCAGTACAGTACAAGTACAGTTACCGCTCCCAAGCGATTAAAAGCGTCGAGGGAGAAAACTGCAAGAACCCGTGTGGAAGAAGCGGTGTGGGGGTGCAAAACATGGGGAACATATGCATGAAGACAATCATTCATTTCTCCATTCCTCTTCCCCTCAATCTCTCCTCCTTCTTCGCTTCCAAAACCGAAAGTCCATTTGAAGAAGCAAAGCACTACCGGTACAACATATCCTTCCATGCCTTCCAAGAAATCACAGACCTAAGGAACAAACCCTGATAGGATAGTAAGGTATACCCGTACACCCGTATTCTTCCTCGTACAAATCATGCACAGGACACAGGACACCTGCCTGTAACCCATACCCATCCATCACGTGTGAAAATATATCCGCCCCCGCTAAAAGTACAAAGTACCCGAACGTCCCACAATCTCGGAGCAGGACAATTTCGGATCTAGTGACTCGAGATCCGAGAACTCGGGAAAGGCAAAGGTGCCAAAATTTCGATAATCTCGGTTGTTGGTAGCGCAGGAGAAAAGGCAGGCACTCGACAACTTCGCCCTACCCCTCTCGTACCCATGTGAGCCAAATTTTTAGTGACTTGGTGTACTCAAGTACATTATGCTTTCTGTTTTTTTTCTTGTTCGTTTTCGTCAGTCTCATTTGCTTTTTCTGCGTTGTTTTGTTTGTTCGATACAAGTTGAGCCGCGCTGCATGTCAACGGCCAACCTCCGGTTGTACATGTTTTCTTTTTTCTTAAAGCCTTGAATTGATGAATTTGTGTTCCACTGTAGATCTATGTATAGACTATAGTTTGAAAAGTATATACTTGCGATACAAACTTATTTCCTTTTGGCGGCTCGCGTGACCTCGACCTTTGGTCTTACATATTTTTTCTTCTTTACGTCTTCGCGTTTCAGCCCTAAGGTCTAGAACGCTCGTTATGGGTGAAGGCTTGCAAGCGCATGCCGAATCGATACTGGGCAACGGCACAGTCTCTCATCTGAGGCTTACAGTCGTTTCCAAAACCGACACATTGCAGAATGTTTATTCCGCGTTGTCATCTGACCATGACTTAAGCCCCTACTTTGGATGTATTCCGATTGGTACACCCCTTTAAGTGAAACAATAATGGGTCTATGTTGAAAGACTGAATAGAATTCCATTATATTAAATGATATTATCGGATACCCCCTTTAGTAAAACATTTGCTTACAGGCAGTTAATATATTGATATCAAGAACTATAAAATGTCCGCGATAACCGCGTTTGCCAATCTAGCTTATTTTTCGAAAGCGGTAACCAAGTACTACTCTCAACTTAAAAGTATATAGAATTTGATATCTGGATCTATACTCTAAGTAGTTTCTGCGCCGAACTGTGCAGTGATAACCAGACCAGAAACCCGCAGTTCAGGACATTGCGGTCCCCTACGCTTTCCTAGTTCAACAAAATCCAAAACCAAAGGTTCATATCATACAGTACAGTCACGAACAATGAATGACCTTAAATCCCAAATCGTTGATACCGGCCGGTATTATCTAATATTATTAAATTCTAACTAAAGAAAAGCCCCAAGATAAATATATATACTACATATACAAGTTTTACACCCAAGAAAACGCTTCCTATACTTACATACTCATACTACTGTTTGATGCATGACATTCGCCCTATAACTTTCCGACCTCTCCAACAATTCCTCATGCGACCCCTGATCCACACATCTTCCTCCATCTACCAAGAAAATAACATCGGCCTTTCGAATTGTACGTAAACGATGAGCAATAGCAATAACCGTAATACCCCTCGCGGCCTTCTCCAGTCCATCCTGCAAGAGCTTTTCCGACTCCGCATCTAAAGCACTAGTTGATTCGTCTAGGATCAACAATTTAGGTTTTCGAACGAGCGCTCGAGCGATCGACAATCTTTGCTTCTGACCTCCGGAAAATTGGTTCCCGCTTATTCCGCAGTGGGTTTTGTATCCGTCTGGTAATGCTTCGATGGTATCATGAATATTGGCGAGTTTACACGCGGCGACGATTTCATCCATGGATACTTCGTGCCCTGGTCTCGCACCAAATCCAATGTTGAACTCGACGCTTCCCTCGAAAAGTACACTTTCTTGTGGTACCAATGCAATGGAATCACGGAAGGCGACGTCTCGGTGCTTGGTCACGTCGACGCCATCAATGATGATGGATCCGGATTGTGGTGTGTACAATCTTTCGACTAGTGAAATGATGGTCGATTTACCAGCACCGGACGGACCGACCAGGGCACAGAATTTCCCAGGCTGGAAATCAATGTTCAAGCCGTTCAACACTTGCATGTCTGGCCGGGCAGGATACGAAAAATGAATATCGCGGAGCTGCACGCTGGAGGCTTGTTGATCAGACGATGGAATAGGGGATTTGGTTTCGGCGGTGGCCTCGATATCAGTGGATGGAAGATCGCGCACGTGTCCTTGCATCTTGTCCGACCCTATCTCGATCAGGCTTAAGATTCTTGCCATGGCCGCTCGAGCATTAGAAAGTTCCGGTGCGAGAGCGAACATTTGACTCCAGAGGAGTGCGCTGACCAGAAGGGAGAAGACGACAATCAGGAATTGTGTTTGTGTGTAGGTGCCTGCGAGAATTTGTTTGGCACCCCACCAATATGCCAGTGCATTCACAAGATTGCCAAGGAAGTAGGTCGTCGCCTGCCAAAGACTTGCTGTGAGACTAACTTTGAACGTCTCTGTGCGAGGTCCCGCCAAAGATCTTCGGTAGGTAGCCAGTGTTTCTTCTTCAAGAGAGAGAGACGCGATGATCTTGATGGATGTAATTGCTTCTACACCAATATCAACCGACTGGGTGTATGCATTTTCGTGTCGGTCTTCGAATTGACCAAGTACTCGAAGTTCCATAAGACCAGCTCCAAGTAGAAGTGGTACCAAAGCCAGACAGACCAATGCTATCTTCCAGGCAATGATGTGGGTCAAAATAATTGCTGCAATGAGATTAACGCTGATGGAGAATAAAGTACCAATGACGGAACCGCTCAAACCAGCCAAAGCATTACCATCCCTAGTAATATATGAGAGAAGTACGGCGGGCGTACGGCCTTCAGATTGATGCCACTCAAGGTCTTGTTCGAACAGAGATCGAAACGACAAAACTCTCACTGTAAAGACAATCCTCTCCGAGACCCAGCCGAATCCCGCCCAACTGACCAAATTGCCAAAGAACTCGATAATTGCGAGGACGAAAAACAGAAGACCATAGAAGTTTCCCCGAGAATCAATACTGTCTGCGCTATTACAAGGGTTCAGACTTCCAACGGTATTTCCGAAGATGACGGCTTCGCCAGAGAAAGCTCCACCAACAACAGTTGAGGCAACAAGGGCGATGAAGATCATAAGTAAGTGTGGCCTTAATGCTGGAGCATAGCCTTTCATCAGGGCCCACAACGATCTGGATGGAGTCGCTGGTTCCTGTTCTTCTTCTGGCGAATCAGTGTCGGCTTCTTCTTTGGCTGAAAATTCAGCTTTCTCTGCATCTCCAAGGGGGCCGCTTGTTTGGCTGCTCTTCTCAATATCAATGGCTGTCGACGAAGTCACTACAGATTTACTGATACTGTCCATACTAGCTCTCTCGTCTTTACCGGATGCGGATCCGAGACCTTGTAATTTGACTAGGTCGGCGTACGTTCCACTCTTGACCATCAACACCGAATGACTTCCCTGCTCCACGATATGACCTTTGTACATCACGATGATATTATCCGCGGTAGTTATCGTAGATAGACGATGAGCAATAGTGATCATGGTTCTCCCACTCGCAATCTTGTTGATCGCCTGCTGGATACGCTGCTCACTTCTGGAATCCAGAGAGGCCGTTGCTTCGTCCAAGATAAGCACGGCGGGATCCTTTACAAGGGCCCTGGCAAGAGCCACCCGTTGTTTCTGACCACCACTGATGAGCCGTCCACTGGAGCCAACAGAAGTACCATATCCATGCTGCAATGCAGTAATGAAGGAGTCCGCATCTGCAAGCTCCGCAGCCTTCCTGACCAAAGTGATAATTTCGACAATTTCCGGACCCCGCGTTGCTGCCGCGGCCATGAGATCCGTACCCTCCCTTACTTCACCTGCTAGATCTGAAAGGTCGGAACTGTTGAGTGCCGCCTTCAAATGTGCATGGCTAGGATTACTCGAGTTGATCAAGCCATGTGCGATATTTTCCAAGAGGGAACGGTCGAGGAGAGAAGGCTCTTGTTGTACCAAACTGAGGAATCCTCTCAAGTCACGGGTATTGACATCACGAATATCGTGGCCGTCGAAAGTAATTTGACCATGCGTAGGATCGTATAATCTTGTGACCAGACCCGCGATAGTTGACTTCCCACTTCCCGAAAGCCCGACAATGGCCGTGTTCTTGTTAGCAGGGATGGACAGAGTGATGTTGTCGAGAACTGTGATCTCCGGCCTGGAGGGATAGGTGAATGAAACGTCCTTGAACTCGAAGCCACCTTGTGCCTGTGGAAGTCGAAGACCGGCATCAGTAGTACCATCGATTAGTGGCTGTCGATCTATGTCCATACGCAGCTTCTTGTACGAGGCGACAGCTGCGATGAATAGATGGAGAAATGGTGCAACTTGACTCAAAAGCAAGGTAGCTGTTATCGTGTTAGTGTAACCCTGCAGCGAGATTCAAGTCCAACTAACCTTCGACCAGGATAAAAATGACTGTAAACGTAGCACCTACGGTGACGCCCGCAGAGTCGTTACGCACCGATCTAGCGATACTTTTACTTCCTTGCCAAAATGCCAGTCCATTTGCAGAATAAGCAATGAAATACAAGAATCCAGATTGTATGCCAATAGCCGTCGCCTTCTTCAAACCCTCAGTTCTCGAAGCTCGGAGTGCAGTAGAGAATTTATTCTCCAATCGAGTATTTCCACCAAAAGCCTGCACCACCACAATATTAGAGAGGGCTTCCGAAGCAATCGACGCGGCCGTAGCAGCATGATCCGACATGAGCCCGGAGTATTTCTCGATATAATAAGTGCCAATAAACGACATGAGAAAATAGGCCGGAATCAACGAGAGTAACATTGCAGCCAGCTCCCAGTCTTTGATGAAAGCTACAATATAGGCCGTGACGAAAAAGGAGAGACTAGAGAGGACGATGCCCACTTTCTCCGAAGTGCCTGAGCGAATCGTCTGAACATCGCTATTCAAACGCGAGGCGACTTCTCCAGGAGGCAAGTTATCGAAATAAGACGGTTCCTGACGCAGCAAATTCTGCAAGTAACGTTCACGCAGTCTTTGGGCCAATCGCGCGCCGTGGAGACTCCAGCACGAAAGATGCAAATAAATGAGCACGAATTGGGCCACGGCCAGATACACGATGATGAGAATCTTGCTGTTGATTCCACTTTGATCTTCGTCGGAAGAGGAGCCCGAAGACTCACTACAGGTGGCTGCATTAAAATCGTCGAGGAGCTGTCCAAACAGCACTCCGATGATGGGGAAGGGAACACCAGCTGCAATGGAACATATTGCACCCAACAATAGCGTGCCCTTGTCAGCAGCCGATGGACTACCAGCCAACAGGAGGCGGGGAAAGGCGGAAATTTTTTCGGCCATGGTGATGTGCTTTGCTTAAGCAGAGGAAGGAAGGAAGGAAGGTCTTTCGATCAATATGTATACATTACTTTCGGACCACCTATTATAGAATATTGTCTTGTCTTTTCTTGTCTTGTCTTGTCTTGTCAATGAACAATGATAATGATAATATGACCACTACAAACCCTGACCCGACATCGGTCTAAACATAAACAAAATAAATTCAAGACTGCGAAATTGAAATGCCACCTACAACTGCACAAGTGCACAGGTCCATGAACCGACCACATTAGTCAAACTTTTCAACCCATTAGTTTTCTTTTCAATTTTAGCAGGGGGGCAGTCAGAAACAAGGCAAGGTACTTGAGAACGGGTGCCATTTTCTCTTCTCCTTGGCAGTTCTGCTGTAGGTGGGTGGGTGCCCGATGGGATGTTGATTGTTGAGGGGGATTCCCACTTGTTCGACATAATGCATGCTAGCCACCAAAGTTAAATTTTTTATCAGATTATCGGATCATCAGATTAGATAATGGTTAGTTAGGTAGTGTCCACTTACCCACTTACTAGCCACTAGTATAAATCCACTAATATAAATCCACTAAGAGACCTAGCAGGAGTGGGACTATATGCAGAACCTCCTATCCTAGTCAGGTTACGTACGGAGAACAAGCCTAGTGTAGTAGGTAGTACCAGTCTACCAGTCTACTGGCAGTACTCTCCACTTCGGGACCCGTGGGCTTTACGTTTACTTGTTACGTTAATTTGTTATGTAATAAAGCTATACATGTACTGTAAAAATATGAAATATAACATATAAATTAGAATATGAAATTGTACTACTCTACCCGGTACGATACAATACAGTACATACGGTACCGGTGCCGAGATGAAGGAAAATGTACTCGTACACAGCGTGAGACTCATACTCGAGTATAGGCCATATACTTAGATACAATTTAACATATCAAAGTATGATGATATCAATAATTATAATAGATGTAAATTGTGATTACTCTACTCTATAAGGTAAAGGAAGGTAGGTTATTTTTAAGTCATGTGCACATTACTCGTAGTATGTTTCCAACAATATCTCCAACAGAAGTACTCGAATATAATATAGTGATTCATATTTAATCTGCATTTGCGCACCCTTTACCGGAAACTCCATTTCGGCTTCTAGATATTGTAGATAGGTTCCTCGTTGTTTACGATGGATGAATAAATAGCACTACTGTCTACGATTTATGATATGAAATAAAATAGACCATCGTGAAGTCACTCTGCGCTCTTAGAAAGGGGACTCGCTTCTCGGATACCGGTATCTTATGAATTTATTAATTTACAAAACTCACATCTTTCTATGCATCAATTTCGGTCGATGCTATTTACTATCTAATATCTACTATGTACTATACGGTAAATACCTGGAATAGCATCATTTTCAACTTTGATACCCGAAATAGCATATAAACTTTCTAATTAGGCCTGAATTAATATATTATATTATTTCAGTCGTTTTCTTTTTTTTCAAAAAGTATTATTTCAGTCGTTTTTAAATAATATATTAATCTGGTTTCAAAAAAATAAAATGATATTATTCTGGTCTCAAATGATTTATATGTTATTCTGATTGCAAAAATAAAAAGATACTATTCTGGTTACAAAATTCATGTGTTAATCTGATTGCAAAAAAAAAAGGATGCTATTCTGATCTCAAAATTGATTTGTTATTTTGGTATAAATAATAACCCCATATCCTCTTATATAGCCCCTCCTTTTCCCCTTTTCTTATATCCTTTCATATAACCCTTTCTCTTCTTCTTTCCCTATATTCTCTCATGTGAATAATATCATTTTGTTGTGATTAAATTAACATATAAATTTTATAACCAGAATAATACCTTTTTTTCTTGATGATCAGATTAACATATAAATTTTGTGACCGGAATAACACCTTTTTTTTTCTTATAATCAAATTAACATATAAATTTGTAACCAGAATAGTATCATTTCTGTTTCTGAGATTAGATTAATATATTTTATTTTGTGATCAGAATAATACAAAAGACTTAACCTGAAATAGCATATATTATACCTCGATTAGCACTTAGATTATTTCGGGTATCAAAGTTCAAAATGATGCTATTCCAGGTATTTACCGTATATTATACCATGATCAAATCACCAATTAGAACATCTTTCCATCAAACAACAATTCCAACCGACTATTCGCCAATTCCTGAATAGCAAGCACCAACTCATCCAGAACCCCCTCCACAAACACAGTATCTCTCACACTCCCCACAGCCCCAACATGCATCTGCCCCCCCTTCACAAACGAGACCGCCTTAAACGGAGTCGCCGCATCACCATGCGGATTAACAATATCCACTTTACATATACCTCCCGCAAAAGGCATCGTATCGAAATCATCCCAGTCCTGATGATGAACGATGGAGTCGAAGAATTGCGTCTTGGAAACCGATGACCACCCGGTGCACTGCGTGGAAATCTTGTTGAAGCCGAGGAAATCATGGGCTGCCGATTCGGCACTTTGTTTTTGAACGAATCTCAAGAGATCCATGGCTGTCCACTGCGACTCGAACGGGACTCGCGTCGGGGTGAATTGGTAACATGGACCCATGATGTTCTCCGCGCCGGCTAGGTCGATGTTTCGCCCAGAAGTGATGCTGCCGAATGTGACATCTGGCTTCTGGAGACGACGTGCGAGAACTAATGCCCATGCTGCTGTGAGCAAGTTTGCCGTGGTGATATCTTCGGGACGTTGAGAGATATCGACGGGTTTTGCTTGGAAGATTGCTTTGTCTGTAGGCTCTGCTGACTTCCCTTCCAAAATAGATAATGATGAGCCGTTGAGAAGATTGCGCCAGTAATTGATGGCGGTAGTCTGTGCACGTTTATCGCAAGTTCGTGCCATGTATGATGAGAAAGGTTCAAAATCGACGACATTTTCTCCTTTGTAGAGGATTTCCAAATCTCTAAGTAACATGGGTAGGGAGACACCATCATATAGAGCGTGAGACATGCCTAGAATGAGGCATTCTTTACCGTTGTTGTCTTCGACATGTAGTATTTTGAGGAAAGAGGATCCCAGCTGAAAGCCTGATTCTATGTCCATTGTACAGAGCTCGGTGGCGTATTGTTCAATATCCTTATCAGTTCGTAGCGTGGTCATATCAGAGGCATTCAGCTCGTCGATGACAACTTGAAAGAAGTTCGACTCGTGTTCGATGAAAACTGTGCGTAAAATTTCGTGAGTTTTAATGAGCTCTTTGCAGGCGCGGAATAGTTGCTGGCGATCGATGCTTTCATCGAGGTACAACATGGTGTATTGTATGGAGGTACGCAGTGACTGAATAGTTCCTCTAATATCGAGCGCTTGGGAATCTGTCGCCGGAGATACATCCCGAATAGACCAATTTGGATCTGCAAGCTTCGGCCGGATAACCTCAGACAGGAATGGCTCTATGTCTACAGTGTTTAATGTCGAAAACGGTTTGTAAGGCTGTACCTTATTAGTCGATACTTGGTCTATCTTTAACACTTTGGCGGCATCACCAAGACGCATATGTTGGAAGATATCAGCCACTGTTAGACCATGTCCTTGCACACGAAGACTTGACACTAATTTCATCGCCATGACAGAGTCGCCGCCGAGACGGAAGAAGTTGTCATCAATATCAATCTTCTCCGAAGGAATCTTAAGTATATTCGCCCAAGCAGCCTGAAGAATATTTTCCGCAGTTGTCAAATTCTGTTTCGCTAAGTTATTCGACCAGACCTCTTTAAATCCTTGACGAAGCTCGGAGAGCACGGGTCGAGGAGTTGTTGAGGCTAACTGATTTAACAAACTATGATCAATATCCTTCATCTCGATTGGCATTTTGTCAATTACGACATACGCAAAGGGCATCATGTACGATGGAAGAGAGTCTTGAATGAATTTGTCGAGTTTTTTGAGTGCTAGAGCAAGACCCAAAGGAATCTCAGTACAGATAGCCGTTTCGAAACTTTGCGAATCTGATACATCACAAGTTATGTTGTGCTTCGCCGATATGATGTTGACAGTTTTTTCTTCAGAAAGCTGTTGTTCTACGAAGATCAGCACCTCTTGTTTTGAAGCCTGTTGGGAGTCTTCCGACAATGGCTGATATACGGCTGCAGCTGCACGCACTGTGTCTGGGAGGTATTTGGCGAAGTGAGCTTCGAGCTCTGTGATGTCCACTGCATGGCCTTGAATTGGCATAACATTCTCCTTTCGGCCAACAAATACTAAGCTCTTGTCCTCTAGTAATCGGACCATATCGCCCGTGGGTTGCACTCTGCCAGTGCGGCCACCATACGTAGAGCTTCCAGTCACGAGCCAGGCTGGAGACTCAACGGTTTCTTCTGTAAAGAAAGCCCCTTCAAGCCAGAGCTCGCCAACGCAGCCGATTGGTGACAGTAGAGATGGATTTCGTGGATCGCAAACCCAAGAAATCACCGCCTGAGGATAGATCGATCCCTGCTTGATGCTTGCATCTGCGCGAATCCTTTTTGACAACTTATCCAGGGACAATGGAGAGGCTTGGTTCCATTGCCAGATTTGATTCAATTCCGCCTCGGGTAGACATGAGACCTCGTCAATGCTTCTAGAAAGATCTTTGCTTAACTGTAAACAGGCCATCTGTAACTGCGCAAGCATTCGCTCCATCTGGGTGATCTCAATCAGGCTGCTATCGAAGTTTGCGCAGATTCTGAACCCGGTTTTACGTATTCCACAGGCTAGCATGAGCGGATATGGGTTGAAATGAAGGGATTCGAGTTCAACATCTCCTGACTTGAATCCAAGATCATCACCCACATACTCAGGTTCTGAATTGATAACCAATCCTGTGCCAGCTTCGCATGCATGTTGGGCATCTTGGCTAACCTTTCTGATGTTTTGCATCCCCATATGCTGATACGGTATGCGTGCCAACATGCTTTGCTGCACGCTCTGCAAATAAGACTTAATGGAGCTTGATCGGTTGACGTTGATGCGAACAGGTACTGTTGCAATCAACGGACCAACAATGCTCTCGACGCCCGTCAATGAGATGTCTCGACCTGCGAGCGTCTCACCAAACACCACGTCGTCGCTTCCTGTGTATTGCGAAGCTACAAGCGCCCATGCACCACGAATCAATGTTGCCATTGTAAAAGGTGATTTAGTGCTTCTGTCAAGGGTGATGTCAATTTCGAGATTTGCATCTGGAGTTGGTAAGTAATCTCTAGAAGGTAAACGCGGAAACTGAGGTCCAACGGCATCTTCCAATTCTACTCGCCAAAATTCTTGCATGGCGACTTCATCTGTGTCACGCACATATTTGACAAAGTCACTCATATGTGCTTGCATCTCGACATTTTGACCTTGCAAAGCATTGCTGACTGCCTTAAGTAATAACGGTTCTGACCATCCATCGTAAACTACGTGATGAATAGTCCATACCATGTATCGCTTATCATCGTCTGGCTGGTTGACGATAGCATATCGAGCTAAGCTTTGTCCCAACTCCATTCTTTCATTGCGATCACTGTCAAGATATTGCTCTAGATTATTTGAGCTCCTCCAGAAGATTCTTTCTTTAAGTATAACTTGCTGAAGGCCTGGCTCTTGGAGCTGGGCTACGCGAGTGCGCAGGATAGGGATAGCTGCAACGACATCCTCCCATGCTTTCTTCCAGGCTTCGAGGTCGATATGAGATGGAATACATGTGACTCTCTGAGCAACGTACACCTCGGTTGATTTGAGTGCAAATGTAAACAGGGACTCTTGCGTGGGTGTGCAAGGGTAAATGTTCTCGATGGCTGCCTGGTCCGATTCACACATCTCTGACGCTTCGATACAGGCACTTTCGGGAGATTGAGAAATCAATGAAAATGTTGGTAGTTCTGTCCGTACTTGCGAGTTGTAAACTTGCACGACTTCGGCCATCGCTGAGAGTGTAGGGTGGCTGAAAGTGTTGATGACACTAAGATCGAGACGTTCCTCCCTACAAACAGATACGAGTTTCATTGCCGCCAAAGAGTCACCACCTAGTGCAAAGAAATTATCGTCGAGTCGAATGGATTCTGCATCAAGCTTCAATATCTGGCTCCAGGCCTGTTGCAAACGTTTCTCAAGATCACTCAACTCCCGAGTGCTGGTTGTTTCTTCATGTACATCCCGCAAGTCCACCGTGGCACCAAATTGCCTAAGTCGTTTACGATCAATCTTGCTTGAGATCAAAACAGGAATGTAATTGACTGGTATATATGCGGTTGGCACCATATATCGTGGTAAAATCTTGGTCAACTCTGTGTTGGCTTTTGACAGCGCTTGGCTCAGCTCTTCATGAAGCTGAATCGAATTTATATCAGTACCCTCCTGACTCTTCTTTTGTTGAGGTCCAACGAATGCGACCAACGTAGGTTGACCTCCAAGTCCTTGAGGCACAATAACCTCAGCAATCACGCTGATCTCCGAAGGTAGCCTGGCCATGAGCTGACTTTCAATCTCACCGAGTTCAACACGTTGTCCACGCAATTTGACTTGTGTATCTTTCCTTCCAACAAACAAGATGCCTCCAGAACCGTCAGGGTCATATTTTCCAAGGTCTCCGGTTTTGTATAGACGCCCTTGACGACCATCATATCTGCTGTGGCCTGCGGTAAGCCACGATGGATCTTTGATGAAAGACGCTGCAGTCTTCTCGGGATCATTCAAGTAGCCTTGACCTACAATAGGCCCCTCGACAAGCAATTCTCCCACAGCACCAACGGGCATTAGCTGTTCGTGGTCGTCGGGATGGGTAATCCAAATAGCTGCTCCATTTCCTTCTCCAATAGAGATGTAGTTTCTACCAGTAGCAGTGTCGCTATTTATTGTACATCCGATAGTACATTCGCAAGGACCGTAGCCTATAATAATCCTGGTGTCTTGGCCCCAAATCGTAACATCTCTTACTGACGACGCCTCTCCTCCAAGACCCAAACCGCTAAGCGATTTTATAACATCCGAGTCCAGAATGCGGGCAACTGAAGGGGTTAAGCCTGCGTAATTGACCTGCATATTTCGCATTACTCCATTGATGTCGTTCAATCGATCCTCGTCCGAGGGGATGCAAAGGCACCCACCATTTCCAAGAGTCAATAGCATGCTGTCAATGCTAACATCGAAGGCGTAAGCCGCAAAATCAAGAACCCTGGAGTCTTCCGTATAGCCAACTGCTTTCGCTCGAGGAACGGCACTACTTGTATAGGTTTCATGCGAAAGCATGACACCTTTTGGGGTGCCTGTGCTGCCAGAAGTAAAAATTATGTACATTAAGGCAGACGGTGGCACAGCTTCTAATCGTGGGCTAACGGGTGGATTTGAGAAGTGCGTGAATGTTTCTGCTTCCACGACCATAATAATTCCATCTGGAATGATCGACTCTGAAAACTCGTATTGGTCGCGAGATGTCACTATTACCTTTGCGCTCACTTGTTCCGCCATGTTTTGGAGGCGGGCAAGCGGAAGCGTTGGGTCAGTCATCAGCAAGGTTGCGCCTACTTTCATAACCGCAAGCACAGCTACTATTGTCCATCTCGATTTCTCAAAGCAGACGGGTAGGACGTCATGTAGCTTAACACCCATTTCTCTGAGAGAGCACGCTACGAAAGTGGAATATTGATCGACCTGAGCGTACGTCAAACTACCATCCCAAGAATCGATTGCTACTTTATTGGGTGATAGTTTAGCTTGTTCGAAAATCATGTCGTGCATACAAGAGCTGTAAGTTGGAGGTAGTTGGTGATTCCATCGCCATATCTCGTTCAGATCACGTGTGGTCGGGCGAATACAGTCTTCGATAGAAGCATCGGGAGTTGAAATGCACATCCTGATGGTGTCGACCAGTGTCTCGACAAAGTGCGTGACTGTAAATTCCAGTATGGTCTCGGTGTACCACACAGAACAGATTTCGAGAAGGTTATTAACAAAACGTACTTCGAGGTGGAGGACACCCTTTATTCGTCACGGTTAGCGAACTGGCAACATGCATGAATTAATTTGCTCACTTCATCTTTCGCCTCTTCAGACGTCTGTGACAGAGAACTGGTGCTCAATATAATCGAGACGGGACTGGATATAGCTGCACCCTGAATTAATGCAAACTTCGCGATATGGCGTGAAACCTCAGAAGTAACCTGTCCGACATTATTCTCCAATCCTGTCGTTATTTTATCTAGCGAGAGACGTCCCTTCACCGGCTCAAGCTCAAAGTTACTCTCTCGACTCTTGTACGCCCAATCGTAAGATAGCTGGCTACCTTCTTCCCGGGTTCGCAAGAGCACGATGAGCCAGGATAAAAGTAGAACATCCTCTCTCATGCCCGTCTGAGTAATGGTCTGATCGGATGCAAGACCATTTATGTAAAAAGACCTAAAACCTTCACCATCAGGCTGACCTGACAATAAATCAACAAACCCATTTTCAGGAGAGTGTTGACCTTGTGTATCATCGACATGTATAGAGCCCATGCTGTCGGTAGGCCAGATATTCTGGTCTCTAAGTCCTGAAGTTGTTCTGAGGTTTGGCAAGAAGAGTTAGACTTCGACCGTGCATTCGATTCAGTAGAGATTTGCACGGATTGAACTTGATTGAGGGAATATGTGTAGTTTGGGTAGTCAGACAGTAAAGGTTATGATAGCATGTTTCCCTTTTTCTTGCGTTGGAGAGTAGAGCCGCAAAGTTACCACTCCGTACCGGTCAGGGTTGATGAGCTCGACTAGGTATTACGGTATATTCATCGTGCGATTTTTGAGCATAAAACCCAAGCCCAAACCGAGATCGGCCATTATTCCACTCTGCTTGGAACGTTGACAGACCGGGAGGAGTTGCATCGGTGATTTAACCTACAGTGATTGTAGTTTAACTTGTTTGAGTATTTGTTATTGTTATCCATGTCATTTGATAAGATGGATTATTTCTAAGTCGTCTCCACTAGCGGGTGTTCTAGGATTAAATTTTCATCCTGCTGATCCCATCTCATCTGATAAGATAAAAATCTACTAGTGTCGGGGCTAAGACCCACCTTATACGAATTAGATGACGTGAAAGTGAACCCCTATCTTGATTGCTATTTTCTTTAGATCTTGGATATTTCGACTTTATCAGATCCTTCTTCATCTCATCTGATAAGATAAACAAACGGATATACTCGTACTGTCAATCTTTACTTGCACTAATAAGTCTAGACCATGGACCTCGGAGCAGAATAAATTAAAGATTGAAGATTGATTAGATGTTTATCCATGTCATCTGATAAGATAATAAATTGTATACGGTAACATTTCTCCACCTTTCCTTAGCTGTCTCCACTACTAATTAACTCAAATTTTCTTGAGCACATGAAAGATGACTCGGAAACAGGTCTGTCTAACAATTCCGCATAGCACCACACCATTTTCTCCATTCTCCTTCCTGAAGTAGCTCTGCACTACAATCAGTCGCCGTGACATCCTCTCACAGCTTTGAATTTGTCCAATTAGGAGATCGTTTGTCCACATATGCCTGGATACCTTCGGCAAAATTGGGACTTTTAACCAGGCGGGGATACCATTCATCAGCCAAAGTCGAAACCGTTTCCTCTACACTGCCAGCTTCCCAGCCCAACCGAATACCCATACGACCAATAATCAACGCATCTGGACTATTCTTGCACATGTCTTGCGCAACTTGGACCGCAACATCAACAACATCGGTACCGGAGTCTGCCACTCGAGTGACGAGTCCCCAATCACACAGCGTCTTGGCACTTACGTTTTTACCAGTCAAGACCAGATCCGAGGTGCGTTGCAAACCCAGAGTGCGAACTAGCCGCGGTAGACAACCCGCCACAGGGACTATGCCACGCTTCGCTTCGGGCAGAGAAAACACGGCCGTGGATGCAGCGATTACGATATCGCAATTGGTTATCATTTCAAAACCTCCTCCCATGCATATGCCATTGACTGCAGCAATAATCGGCTTTTTGCCACCTCGACGAGGGAGTCCTGCAAGACCTGGTGCAGACATGTCATTGACCACCCCTGTCCTATTCATCTCGTTCCATTCTGTTTTCGCAGGACTTTGATCAGTTTTCGTGCAAAAAGGATAATTTTGATATTGAATAATGAATTCATGGATAGTGAAATCTCTAACCTTGCAGATCGGCCCCAGTACAAAAAGCTCTCCCCACGCCTGTGATAATACCAACCCATAAGCTTTCATCTTGATCAAAAAGCTCCCATATTTCTTGGATTTCCCGACTCGTAGCTTGGTCGATACAATTGAGCTTTTCAGGTCTATTCAGCGTGACCTGAACAACCCTTTCTTGAGGAAAAGAGACATAAAAATGTCGAAAATTCAAGGATCTAGATCTGAGAGACATGGTAAAGTGGGTCGATGATATATGACTTGGTACTATTGCCAGCCACTTAAATTCACAGGACAAAAAGTACAATAATATAACTAGGTCTACCAGCTTCCTTCCTCAAATATATACTATTTGTTGATCAGCGCATGCTACTACGGTATCTAACTGGCATCAGTATACGTATGATAAATAAGTGCATTCTTATTAATTTCTTATTTAGTACTTTCTTAGCTTATGTCCCTGGAAAGCTTTCCTCTCGCTTCGGCATCCCTGAGTTGTCAATTGTAAAATATTCCACGATTGCGGTATCGGAAATAGCAACTACTCGGAAAAGGTACGGATACACATAAACGTGCAGCCCTGTAACTACCCTACAGCTACCCTGCTTCGGTCCGAGTAGCTCTTTTTATTTGGTCTAGAGTGGGGTGTGTATGAGGTAGATCAGCGCTGTTACATGTTAGTTGTTTCCGGAGTGAAAATCCATAACAAATCTAGAGTGTCTTTTTTATTAATTTCCTAGAACGACAATTGTGGTACTGTACTTATTCAGAAAGTTAAAGATTTTGCCCTTTTCCAATCCTCGGTGTCAAATTATCCCTGTTGAAAACAAACATACCGTACCTAGGTAGGCAATCAATCACACTGTATATAGACGATATTATATGCTTTGGTGTGTAAGGTTATATCGAATTCAAGTTTCTTCAATAAGCCGCTGTGAAGATCTCGTGTCTCTACATTCTTGATAAACTTCCAATCCATCCAATTTGCGAGAATGGCACCACACAAGTACCCTCTGGTGAAACTACCACACCCGTTCTTGACCACATATCGAGTAGTCACCGATGCTGTAACGACACCCGCCAAACACACATTGATATTGGATAACCAGCAATCCACGTCAGGAAAAGCTTTACCGCAACCACTACATTGCAACTCACTCTCATGGCTTGACTTAACGTCCAGGCCCGAGGATGAGTGTCCACCTCCATCTGATAACACCAGCTGGGCACGAGCATGTCGGAGCCCGCAAACTACGTTTCAATGGACAGGGAATGATTCACCTTCCTTGGGCCAGATCTGGAATCTGACATACGCAATCTACCTTGCTCATCCCACACTGGAGTATTTTCGACTCACTCTTCATGGTTCCGAAAAAGACATCATTCGAAGCGAACTATTATCTACCGGATTAGGAATCGAGCACCCCAAACCATGGCGCTTTTCGAGCGCGGCAGTCACAGCATTGCCCGCCGAAGAAATATTAATACTTCGCAGTGCATTCTGGCAAGGCGCCGCCTCACCACTGGGCCCTCGACCCATCTGGGTAGTTGGAGATGGGACCGACGGACCCCTCCGAGGATCTCTCGCCCAATACCCCGTGATGCCCGAAAACTACCAACTCACCATGAAATTTCCCGAAGAAGCCGTGTATGCTCGCCATCCCACACGACGACCCAAACCACACCCCGGCTCCATCTGCTACAGTCGGTACATTCCCGAGCTGGACGAGCACTTTTCGCTCGAAGTGGTTGATTGGCAAGATGATGCACATTTGAAAACTTTCAACGCGTGGCAAAATGATCCTCGTGTGGCCAAGGGCTGGAACGAAACGGGAACTTTGGATCAGCATCGTGAGTATCTACGCAAACTGCATGTTGATCCTCACGTGCTTTGCTTATTTGGACGCTTCAACGAGACTCGATTTGCGTATTTTGAGCTGTATTGGGCAAAAGTAAGTTACCATTTCTATTTTATGGGCTGGCTCATCTTTTCACTCCGCAACGGGTACTAACAAGCGAATCACAGGAAGATCATTACGGCGCTCACTACAACGCCGGAGACTATGACCGCGGTCGTCACTCACTCGTTGGCGATGCCTCATTCCGAGGCCCACAACGGGTCAACGCATGGTATTCGAGTTGTATCCATTATGTGTTCCTAGACGATGCACGAACAGCCAATGCGGTAGGCGAACCCAAAGCTACCGGTGGCACCATTTTATCATATGAGAATGCCCAAGGACTTACCATTGGAAAGTATGTTGATCTGGGCCACAAACGCTCCGTCCATTCAATCTGTAGTCGAGAGAAATGGTTTCAGCTGTGTCCTCTATTTTGGGATGGCAGGAAACAACCATTGGAATCTGCGGATCGCGCGGCGTGGAATGCAAAGTTGTGAGGTGAGGTGGGGATAATATGGTTATGGCTACGGTACTTGAGATGAGGATGGGATGGATATTTGTACACAAATTAATAGTTTAAGATCTGAATAGTGAATTCCAAAACTATGCAAACAGAGCAAACTCAACGAGCTGAATTCCATCCATATTTCACTCATCCTCGATTGAAATATATACTACGACAACAGCATCACCTTCAACCAATATGTGTTCGTTTAGCGGAGTTAGTAGGATATTGGCCACAACCTCATGCGCATGAGAAGTTGGGATGGTGGCTTCGGCCATCATTTTGCCATTCATTTTTTGACTTATGTATACTTTCTCACCACAGTATTCTCATAAACTCGATCAATGATACACCTTTCCACACATCTCAATGATTTGTTGCAAGAAAGCTTCCTTGATTGACTTATGTGGTATTTTTGCGGACGGATATTTTTCGGGTATGAATTATTGGGGTAATCAGATGAAATATTGATTGGATCATAGTATAGTAAGAGTAAGAGTACCAGCATTATCACCAGTAAGCCTTGTACTAAAAACATGAAGCAATTCCAAGGGACTTTCATAACCAGATTCGATATCCCAAGGTTGGTTTGCGATTTGCATGATGACAGCACAAACAAAAACAAAAACAACCGATACCTATATATTGCCTCGATTTCCATAAAACCCAAACCAAGAACATCCTCAATGATCAACATCAAGTTCTAGAACCCGTCAAATAAAACGACCACGAATATACGAGTAAACGACCCCAAACCAATCCTTACAAAATGAAAGCCCCCATCGCAATCCCAAGTGCCAACATAATGATCCGTTCCTATACACCACACCAATCAGCATCATCTCACCATCCAGTCTTATCAAAAGAAAGATAAAACTCAAAGGATAACATACCATTCCACCACCCACCCTTCCAGCCCCACTACTTCCCTCCTCGAGCTTCGCTGCCCCCGTAGATACACCCGCAGATATACCCGTCGGTGGCACACCTGTAACAACTACCGTACTCCCCGCCGTCCCACTCGTCGCCAAATTTGCATTTCCCCCGAGTAACCCCCCACCTCCACCTCCCACCGGCCCCGCCGTCTGTTCACTCCCACTCCCACTCCCAGTCAAAGTCCCACTAGCATTCCCACTCGCACTCCCACAAGCAGTCCCACCCACACCAGAACTCGTACTCGTAGCCACTCTCCTCACCGTCGACGTCACCAGCGTCGCCACCCCCACCGCCGTCCCATTAACAAACCCATTAACATGGGTCTCACACTTCGCGTTCGCATCACACGTGGTACTAACATGCGAGGAACTGGAGCTTCCCTGACCGTCAGAAAAAGAGCTGGAGGAAGACGAGAAGGAGTTTGAGGAAGAAGATTGGCCGTTGGCGAAATCTGGGGATGCGGCGAAGGATGCGGGGTCCGGGATGGAAGGGAAGGGAAAGGATTGAGCGTTTGTGAGATGGGCGAGGAAGGGAATGAGAAGGAGGGAGGGGAGTTGCATGGTTGTAGGTTTGTTTGCTTGTTTGGCTATGTTTTGGCGAGTAGATATATTATGGGTTACTGAAGTACGAATTTTTATTTTATAACGTCGCGAATTTGTAAGGACTGTACGAACTCAGTGAATAGATGAGCGAAGTCAGAAAGATTTTGTCGAGGGATTAATCTGGTTGAAAGTTTTGTTATGGGGAGGCAAAATTCCAGTAAACAGAGATCGCTCCTTGGAATGTGGAAAATAAGTTCTCGGTGACAAGCAGCATTCCTGCCGGAATTCTCGTGATACCCATCTGCCAAACGATTCGCGAAAGAGCAGCAATGATGACATACATATGGACAGGAACACGATCATTTGATTTGCTTTCTGCATGCCTTGGGATAATATCTATTTTGGTGGAGGTTTTTAGATTGGCAGATCACCAGGGAGTGTGCAAAAGCCTATAGAACGAAATGAAAGTTGAATACACTTGGAATCCTTCTATGTACACTCTGAGACTTGAATTTGGTTCATTACAGATCAGACAATAAGCTCATACATTGTGGAAGGAAGAGAATCGTTCCATGAATCCGTGCACCCACTTGTGGACAAAGAAAAAGGGCGAATGAAACAGATATTATCAATATCTCGGCATATCCAGCCAAGTCCGAGTAAAGATTCGTGTAATTATGCCCAACGACGAATCGCCTTAACATTTATGGTGCGTAAATATACATTGACATCCTCCAATTCAACTTCTAATACTTCGCCAGCTTTGACATCCCCAATGTCAAAAGTCTCAGATCCTACCAAATTTACTGCGACATCGAAGAAGTCCAGCTTTCCCCACGAGCGCTCATATTTGGCATCTTCTTGGGCAACAAAGCGAAATGTAGGAGGAAGAGAAGCCTCTTTGAACCGCCATGCGCGGACCAAGAAATTGCACAGCCAATGTTTGATAGAGTCTCTGTTGCCTTGTTTGATCATCCTCTCGCGAGCATCGAGATGTGATATAATGCGATCAAGTTCGGCTTTTGAGAAAGGAAGAAAATCTTCTTTCGTATTACCGATGAGATTATGCCCCAAACGTGCTTCTTCCCGAAGTGCTGCTTGAACCTGCCAGTGGAGCAACAAGTCTCCGTATCGACGCAAAGGACTAGTACACTTGGCCATCATCTCAACACCGACTGCTACATGTGGACCCGGAGTCGTGGATGGGAGTATCGAGCCAAGTAATTGGAAATACTGTAGAGCGATGCTGACTGGAGGATGGCCATGTTCGTCCAGTGATGGTAATACAACTTCCCTGTGGAATTCCAACGGATCTTTCTTGTTTACGTTGCGAGTAGTGACACGGTAAGGAACTGGAATACCTCTGGCATGGCACCATCGTGCTGCGACCTCGGCAGCGATCAACATCAGTGGTGCAACTGCGTCTACTCTCGACCCTAGACTACCAGATTCTTCTTTCTGTAGTTGAATGGTTGCAGCCTTGGGCGAGACTGATAAGTCAAGTTTGGCAGGGCTCAAAGAGACACCTCCTTGGGCTATGCGTTGCTTAAGCCTAGCATCACCAATCTCGTGTAGAATTCGAAGGTCCTCCTTGTGCTCTCCAGAAAGCTCATGGCTCTGCAGCATGTTCCTCTTCTCCGGAGCGTGAGTGATGGGTACCCCAACGGTGCTGGTAGTGGTAGTTATTGCAGAATTTTGAAAATTGTTCCCTGTGATAACTTCCTCGACTACATTAGGCGTTATGTATCTTACATCAAAAATGGTGCGTGGAGATATCTGTGTCTCCAATATATCACCGTTCAAGTTCATCTTCGCGCTGAATGTCAAAGAGGGACGGTTCGTATCAAGACTCAGGTGATTTTGCACAAAATCTGACGGCAACAAGAAATGTACCTTTTCGGGCGCATAAACCGTTTCGGTTCGATTTGCGATCTCGTCCGCACTCTTACCCTTCGCTTCTAATCGCGATGCAGGATCGGCTGCATGCACATGGACCCAGTACTCGTTTTGTGTTTCAGTGGGCTCAATTGACACTCCATCATCAACCTCATGAGCACTTGCAGCATCAATGCAGTAAACAGGCAGATGGAACTCCTTTCTAAGGGCAGTCATACTATCTTCTGAAGTAAAACAATCTTCCTGGTAGATATCGTTGTACGCATGGTTATGAATTCGAAGATCGTAGGCTACCCGGTTCGTCGTAGGGTGAATCTCACCGATTTCTTGCAAGAAAGTCCACGCAGTGCTTTGATCCAATGGGAACTCCAAGTATCGGGCTACGGCTCGAAGAAGGGCAGACCCCGTGGCATTTATTGAAGAGTTGCGATCAATGGTACGGAAGGCCGCCCATGATTTGATAAATTCTGTATATGGAGACGGAGCGTTTTTGAGTAGAAAACTATTCTCAGTATCCGATTTATTTAGCAGTTTGAGAGTACCATGTGTTGTGAGTTCACGTGATTTACGACTTTCGTCTATAACTCCCTGGCACCCTTTGACCCATTTCGATATAGAGTCGTTCTGAAATTTTGGGTTCCTTTCTGGATTTGATTGATACATGCGAACCTTCTCAACAGTCATGATGATATTCTTGACCTCTGCTTTGGAGCTAACTTCGTACTGTCCGCCGGTTCTAGTTGCCCCTCCCAGTTGTGGTCGAAAGCCAATTTCATCGCGCATAAGAGAACGATGGAGAGCATATAAAGCAGGGTAAGAATATGAACCATCCTCAGTCCTCGGAATATCTTTTGCAATGACCACATTGGCTAGCTCGTCTAATGTAACATACCGAAAGGAGTTATCATTAGCAATAAGATCATGAGCACGCTCAAACCTGGAAGAACTGCGTTGATAGATCTCTTCAGATTTTTCCCAGAAGCTAAGCATCTTTTCCACTAGGGACTTGGTCACATCTCTAGGAACTTGCTGCTCAACATGAACATTCGAGATCTCCAATTGTTCAGTTCCTAGTGATGGCAAAAATGGACGAAAGATGTCAAGTTCGTCATTCCCAACGAAGCTTGGGACATAAAATTGTGTGGATTTCAATGAACCTTCAACCAAAGTACCGGACATTGTGTAAAATTGAGCCAACCTGCCGACATCACGTAAATATATCCCAAGTTCATGTCTCGCTCCTTTTCCACTAATGATGCTTAAGTCAGTTCTTCATTTGCATAGCCTGGTGGCGACGGGGAGGGTAGACACACATAACTTCAACGAGATCTCCAGGAATGAGGAATCCGCGCCTGCTTCCAACATCGACAAGATCATCGAATCCAATATTAGAGATATCATCATCCATTATATTTTCTTCGTCAACTTCGAACCTGGTATCCTGGATTCGAGTGCAAGCATTTTCCAAAGTCCCTGGTGCAGCATCGTCATTGATTATGATAGGGACATATGAATTGGCATGCTCCGCCTCCCAAGCTCTCAAGCGCTCTCTGATCGGTATCGGCTCTCCCTTTTGTGTTGATAAAATATCAGATGAACGGGGAAGTTGGCTAGTTTGTGTCTCTGTTCCGGCTCGTTTCTGGAAGCAAGGTCAGAAATACGAATTATATACCAAGAGGGTTAGTTCTACATACAAAACAGCTGGTGCTGAACGACTTCGTATCTCGCTTCAAAACTGTGGGTTTTGACCTCAATTGGCCATTGTTATCAGCACCTTGTAGCAGTCGTCGTCTCCCAGATGTTACCCCCGAGTGAAAATTTGCGAGGCATTTCCAGCAGACGAGTGATTGCACATTCCTTCTTGGAAGCCGGGAAGTTCTCAACATAGTCTCCGCAAACTTTGATAATGCTATGCACTTATGTAGACTTTAGCAACATGAAGATATTCGGTCGCGGCAAAATTTCTCCGATTGATTTGATTAAGCTTTAGATAACATTTTACACGACCTTATCGCGTTTGCACGTGAAACGATCAAAAGCGGCCCGAGCTCTAGAGTATTTATTCTCTGTGATCGAGCCCTTTTTTTCTTCTCTTTTGAAAGCATCAACGGTAAATACCTTTATTTATATGACTTTTTTCATATGAAGATTGAACATTCGTAACATTTGTATCAAGGTAAGATCTGTTCCTATCTGTCTAGCTTCACTCAACACATTCCATCACAACACTCTTTGTATGATGAACAAACTTTAGCATGTATTACCTGAAGATATATCGTTTCGACGAGATTTCACTGTGGTCTAACACCAAGATCTCTGACTACCCATAACCTTTGCATATTCGTCTTTTCGTTCAAATCATGGCACACGACTAATGGATCATCTCGTATAGATATTATCAAGGCTATGTCTGACTCCAAAGAAGGACAATTCACGGTTCTTTACTTTGCTACCGCTGCCTCTTACACATCGAAGGATTCCGAGGCATTTCGTGCACCTTTACCTCTCTCGCAATTATTCAAGACTCTAGAGAATCATTACAATGGAATTAGAGATAAAGTGTTAAGAAGCTGTTTGGTGACGATCAACTTGGAGTATGTTGATATTCCAGAGGCAGGCTCTGACAATACGGAAATGATCATTAAAGATGGGGATGAGGTTGCAATCATTCCACCAGTGAGCTCTGGATAAGGTAGCTAAATTTTGGAGCCATACGTGATCTGCAATAGCATTCTGAAATTCTGTGAAGTCTACATCGATTAGCATCTTATTGGACATTTTTATCTTATTAGCATTTCAAATAATTTATACTTGTTTCTAAATGCTTCATTATTTTGACTTGACCACGATAACGTTGAAGACGTCTTTTGTTTTTATCTTGGTAATACAAAGAGGGAAATTGGATAATAAGCTTAAGGAAGAAGACATATTCGTGGGATGACTAGCTTCCCCTCCACTGCAATAGCCAGCCTAGACCGTACTCACTCAATCAATCCAGCCGGTATATTTACTTCGACTTTTCGGGAGCCCAAGGGGGCTCATGCATTATCCCCGAGAGGTTAAACATTGGACAGCCCTATGGAAAAAACGTGATTCCTTCAAATATTTCGGGCCTGGAAGAGCGTTTGACTTATCTTGAGAGGTCAGACAATGAAATACTCTGTAAAGTTGGAGATAGAGGAGCTGACGGGGAGTTACTGATGGCTTGTGTTTGGGAGGAGATAAATAATCGGTGGGAGAAACGTTAGAAGAGGATGCGAAATTTGCCGAGGTCAATATAGTGGGATGATTTAGAGGGGATGATTCGAGGGTGTGTAAAAGAAACCCTTATATCTGGAGAAGTTTCAGGAAGTGGGTAGATAGGGGCTTTGGAGAAAATGTGAAAGAAACCTTCGGCTAAAGGGGAGCTGTTGGATTATTCTCGAGAACTCAGGTGATGAAAAAAGCTCTACGGAATGAGTGTCTCGTTTTGCTATTTGTTCTTGAAACGTCGGATATCGAAAAGCTCTGTGGGGTGGGGGAACTTGGGAGTTGGGAGAATTGGGGAAGGAGCTACCAAGCCACATCTTAAATCGTGTGTTCATAGCCAAAAAAAGAAAAGGATTACTTTGCTGGAGATAGTTTGATTCAACCGTGACCTATGGTAATAGTGGGCGAGATTCCGGGGAATCATTTTCTTCAATCACTCCTGACCTCTTCCTTGTTCTCGGATATCCCCCCCATATCTTCCACCACTGCTGATTTCGTTCTTTATTTCTCATGCACCTCATTACAAGAATGACAAGGCCAATTACTAGAAAGGTACCATAAATAGATCCGAATAATGTCAAAACCGTAATCCTAACACCGAATTAATGTCGAGGTAAAACGTGTGGTGGGAACAGCTTAAGCTATATACACTCACGTCGAAACATGACAACCTAAAGATCGAGCTCGCAACTCCCATCTTTCGGACCAAAGAGGGCAAAGGTCACCGTCGAAGATAGGCGCAAGAATATGCACCGGAAATGTATTCGGTACGCAGGTAGAAGATACTGGACACCATGAGCAGTGTCCCGTGGCTAAACAGTCCCAGCATTCTTGATGTCCCCAGCATTTGTTTAGCAAATCATCGGATGATACATTTCCCACGAATTCGCCCGATAGAATGGTTGCCATGATAGGTTTGTATGCAGAGGGTATGGAGTATCATGAGGTTTCACTAGCTAGACGGAAGTACTTGAGTAGTTTGTGAGTTCCTACCCCACAAACCAGAAGACGAAGAGTTTCCGGTAAAGCCCAGGTCAGATGTATAGATCACTCCTAATAAAAAAGATGCGAATTTGTAAGTATATAGAGTAATCCAGTCAGCCCGAATAGTTGTTCTTGAGCGATGCAATTGTTTTTGCATGGCCAGCTTTGAAGCATTATAAGGAAGGCAGTATCTAGGCGAGCTAGATAACAGTGGGAGGGAGTACTATGGGAGCACAAGCTAGTTGCATTCTAGATCATTTATGCTTCTTTCTCTTCTACCTTTATGAATCTTTTGATTACCGGTTTTGAAATGATCATTAAATTCAAGATTTGTGAGAAGTTGGCCAACTTTCAATGTCCAAATCTACTACTCTGGTAGACTCGTAGTCTGACTAGTACTAAAGTATGTTCAAATTTCCCTATGTATGTATGATCCAGAATCCAAATTGAAAAGCTTTATGAATACTATCACAGATGCTTCAAATAGATAGTTGTGATAATAGAAGAGTTTGGTATGAGTAAGTACCTCTAAGTATTAATTACTCGAGTAGTAGTTTTGTTATTAATCTATTGGTGAATAGTAGTTAGTAGTAACGTGGTTTATCAGTAAGCGGAACATATCAGTAACCGGAACACTTTTATCTCAATTACCACCTCTTAACTTTGACACGCGATAAATCCATATCCAATCTTTCAAATCAATATACAAGAGTTGCAAATTAATCTAGTTATTCAAGCTATTGCTTTATCCAAAAAACTGAATGTATAGAAAACTGCTAAAATCTATAATATATTGTATACTATCTTCATTTACAGAATAGCTGATTAAATACTGAAAACTGGATCTCGATCAATACATTATAAAATAACGGAATTAAAGAATAAATCGCTTTTTCAATATATATTGAATATAGATAAAAAAGGGTTTAATTCTCGAATAAGTGATATGGAAGATATAGCGAATTGTATCCTCAAATCGCAGGGTAGCAAGAAAGTTGGAAAGTTCTAGACTAATCGATTTATACAATGATATTCAGACTTAAAGATGTATTTTAATTGTATTTATGATTTCCAAAAAGCTTTTTACGAAAACCCAGAGTTTATTAGGAACTGGTTTCGATTGGTATCGAATATACAGGCAAAATACGGTATTCAGGACTGTGATTTATACAACTTCGATAAAACGGGCTTTATGATAGGACAAATATTATTGTATATAATAGTTACTAGAGCCAATCGATGTGAAAGAAGTAAAGCTATACAATTGAGCAACTGAGAATGGGTTATAGCAATTGTTTGCATCAATGGAGAGGGATTCAGTATTCCTTTATTCCTAATGGTTAAAAACGAATATTATCTTTCAAATTGATATACCAAAAGGGATTTACTATATGATTAGATTATTAAATCTACTACCAATGGATGGACAGATAATCACATAGGTCTTGAATAGATTAAGTATTTCAATGAGCATACTTTAAGCAGGAAAGTGAATAGATATCGAATACTAATACTTGATAGGTATAAAAGTCATAAATCAGCAGTATTTCAGGAATACTGCAAGGAATACAATATTATACCATTTAGTTTATTATCTTATTCTTTGCATTTAACTCAATCATTTGATATTGGTTGTTTTAGTCCTTTAAAGTGTTTATACAACTGGCAGATCGAGAACTTTATAAAAACATACATCATCTATATTACCAAAACCGAATTCTTTTATGCTTTCAAAACCGCATATCTCGAATCAATATCTATATCCAATAGTAAGGCTGTGTTTCGCAGAGCTGAGCTAATACCATTTGAATCGGAAGTTGTATTCTCAAAGCTGGATATTCGAATAAGGACACTATCAAATGACAGATCAGTGTCAGTTGATTCTGATATATAGCAATCTCAAATACTTCAAAATCCAACTGAAGCTTTTTCTCAATCAACTCTAGTAAAAAGTCGTATTGCCCAGTATCAAGGAAATTCACCTACTCCAATATTTGAAACAGTTGTAGCTTTAATTAAGGGTACAGAACTCCTAGCTTATACAAATACACTTTTAACTATTAAGATTTGTAGTCTCTGCAAAGCAAATGAAATACTTAACAAATACTGGAGAGCTAAAAAGATTCAATTATGTAAAGGAGAAACACTTGAAATAAGAGATGGACATAATATATTAGAACAAGAGAATATAGAAGATCAGATACGATACAACGAATATACAAATGGTGGTTCTTCAGAAATGAGACAAGCTATTAAACGAAAATGTAGTAACTGCAATAATACTGGGTATAATGCGCGAACTTGTCAATTGGATCCAGTATTAGTTGATTACTAGAATATATATAATTTAATTCTAATTTATTGTGTTATTGTAATTTTATTCTAGTGGAAAGTGAGTTGGAGTGGTAAAAGTGTTCCGGTTACTGATATGTTCCGCTTACTGATAAACCACGTTAGTTCAAATGCCATTTTTTGATACTTACATCATCATTGTTTTCATATTACTAAGCAAACAACCCCTCTTCAACGATGGACGATGGACGGACGGACACTGACACCACCGACATCCCGCGCAAATAAACCAAATTCGCGTTATGGAGAATAATCCTGTAAACTTGGGTCAAATTGATCCTAGACTTCGAGATGAATCTACTTCATTTGCGCAACCTCAACAGTCCCAACAGCATCAACAGCCACAACCCCAAATCGAAATCCACAATCTGAACACTCAAATTCCTACGAGCGCACCTCGATTGTCTGGTCCATCACCAACCCAGCTCACACAGCTACAGCAGTATCATCAATCTAGCCACGATGGAATCCAATCTCAAATGTATATGCCCCAAACACCCCAATCAGCGGGTCATACGCCAGATGATGGAGATATGCTCGCAGACTCATCGGCTGATGCAAAGCGACCAAGAGCTTGCGAAGCTTGTCGAGGATTGAAAGTCAAATGCGAACCTGATATAAACAATTTTGATGGTCCTTGCAAACGATGCGCCAAAGCCTCCCGCCAATGCGTCGTTACCGTACCAAGTCGAAAGCGACAGAAGAAGGCAGATAGTCGAGTAGCTGAATTAGAGAAGAAGATTGATGCATTGACAGCTACACTGCAAGCGACAAAATCGGCATCTTTACCAGCAAGCCACGGCCCGGGAGTCGAAAATTGTCTTGAGGAGCATGGCCAACATATTTCAGCGAGGCAAAACCCATACGAGCAGGTCACAAATGGAGGTTTTGGATCACCTTTCTCTAGCCATCCCGAATCGAGGTTGAACTCGACCGATTGGTCTAGCTATCCTAAAGCTCCCCAATCCGAAAATCAGACATTATCTGCACCCCCGATGGTGATGGCAGGGCAGAAGAGGAAGCATGCCGAGAGTCGAGATGAGATCCCGGCTGACTCTTTCATGACTGCCGGTTCTTTAGGACAGAAAACTCCTGACTCTAACCTACAACAATCACCTTGGCATGCGCCGCAAAAACAACAGACCCCTGCCCACGAGTATGCGGATGTTGTGGATCGAGGCTTGATAACGGCCGATATTGCTACCACAATGTTTAAGTGTTATGTTGAAAGAATGGCCCACCATATGCCTGCTGTCGTATTCCCCCCCGGCACTACTGCTGCAGAAATTCGCAAGACAAAGCCGATCTTATTTCTAGCTATCCTCAGCGCCAGCTCTGGCACAAACTACCCATCACTTCAGAAACAATTGACAAAGGAAGTGATGATCATATATGCAGATCGCATAATTTGCAATGGTGAGAAGACATTGGAGCTTATACAGGCTCTTCTTATTAGTACCCTCTGGTATTGGCCACCTGAACATTTCGAGGAGCTAAAATTCTACCAACTTATCCACATCGCGGCCGTCATGGCAATTGATATTGGAATGGGCAAGAAAGGGAAAAGCGGCAAGACTGATAAAATGAAAAGCGCAGGATTGTGGAGAGATCATCCGTGGCGACGAACACCATATCCCGACCCTGAAACTATCGAGGCAAGACGTACTTGGATGGGCTGCTACTTTTTATGTTGTAACGCGTCTATGGCTCTACGTCGACCAAATCTCATCCGATGGACCTCATTCATGGCGGAATCTGTTGACATACTTGAGCACTCTCCGGAGGCGGCCCCTACAGATAGGATATTGTGCCAATGGGTTCGCAGTCAGCGGATCGCAGAGGAAGTTGGAATACAATTTTCAATGGATGATCCAGGTGCGAGCATCAGTATCGCCGACCCAAAGGTGCAGTATGCCCTCAAAGGTTTCGAGCAAGAGCTTGATAAATGGAGCAGTTCGATACCTCCAGATGTTCAAACACGTAAGTGGTAAATTATATATTGATTAGACGTTGATCACTGACAGTGCCATCCAGCATCCTTGAAATTAACGGAACATGTAATCAACCTTTACATGCATGAAGTCGCTATGCACGTCGATCACAACGTTGAGGAATTCAAGCCACCCTTTACTGAAGATACATTGCATGGAGCTTCGGAATCCCCAGATGTATTAACCTCGGCTCATATTGCCGCTCTGTCTTGTTGCCTAACATCCATTGACGGTATTTTCGAAACTTTTCTGCAATTTGATGTTGAGGTCATTCGATGCCTTCCGATTGCACACTTCGTTAGAGTGGCTTATGCTGTCGTGGTACTGATCAAGATGTACTTTGCCGCAGCCAATCCGAATGGTGAGTTAGGAAAGGTTTTCATCAAGGACAACATGAAGGTAGAGCATTATCTCGATGGTCTAGTCGAGGTCTTCCGCGCCTCTGCGGCCGATGAGAGATCTCGACCGGCAGCAAAATTCTTGATGGTTCTCATAATGTTGAAAACCTGGTTCCATCGTCAACGAGAGGGCAAATCATCGCCTGTGCAAAACACAGAACCCGCCGACCCTACAAAAACTGCCGGTGATACTTCTGGAGAAGCCACAATGGAGACGGATCAAAACTCAACTCGACAAATGGGATCACACCGCAACGTACAACAACCAGGTTATAGCCCCTCCAATACTCCTCTCCAGCTTCTCAGCGAAGTCGCAACAGGTAATTCCGGTGGTCCCCGTCCAGAAACCCAAAATCAAAATCAATACGCGATTCAGCAAAACGACTGGCTAGCACAACAACCATATCCCAACTACGACCCATCTCTAAATCCCATGAATGTCCAAATGCTACAAGGCTACGGCGATATGCCACCAGGAAACATCGATCCCTCTCTCGGCATGGACCTAGGATTCGCAATGGGCGATGGATTTGAACAGGCAATGGGTATAACATTTGGCGTTGGCGATATCGGTAGTTACTTTGGTGAAGATATTTTCGGTCAATTCATGGGAGGTAGTGTTCCGGGTTTTGAGGGGGGGTTGTAAGTGAGCGCTTGTTTGGGGTTGCTTCACTGTTTTACCCGGTTTTTGATGGCCTTTTCTTTTCTGCGGCATCTCATCTCATCTCATCGTCTCGGTCTCAGTCTCGGTCTCGGTATGAGACTATCTTCTGCCTGTACTAGAAAAAAAATTATTATCATGACATTTAAGGCAGACATAGCTTACGGCAAACGTATATGCGTTGACTTTGACTTTCTAGCAGCTAGTAGCTAGTTAGTCTGATCGATCGATCATTAGTCGCTTTGACTTAAGTCTTAGTGAGACGCAAGGCAATAATAATAACAATAAAAATAACATCAAAATAAAAATAAAGATAAAAATAATCGTAGTGTACTATACTTCTTTGCTACTAGGTAATTCTGTGTTGTGTTGTGTCATATCATGTCATATCATCATCCATCATTATTATCTTGTTAACTTGTCTACACTGGAATCACCAAGATAATAGTAGGTACTGTTATGTTATATCATTCATACATATTTCATCTTCACAGAACAAACGAACGAATGAATGTATTATTGTATTTCCCCATGTTACCTACCTATATCTATCTATCTACAGCAATATAAAATACAGTAAATGAGTAGTCAGATCTGTATTTGTATTTGTATTGATATCCTCATCCTGAGCCTTACCTTTACCCGTATCCGTATCCTTACCATCCCTCCTATAAACATCATGCCCAATATAAAGTTATTTCGTCAATGCAATGCAATGAATGTATGTCATGTTGGACCTGGCCATGCACGTATGTCATGCTATATGGTGGTATCATATCGAATCGTCAGGTAGAATCTACATCTCGTACGTGCCATTAAGAAGACAAGAGCAGAGGATATGAGATGAGGCTAGCCTATACTCCTGACCTCACTTCCATCCCATAATTTCCTATCATTCATCTTCTGGGAAATGCTCTTGAATCCTGGCTATCCTTCTCTCTCCCCCCGACACCTTTTCATGATCCCTCAAAAATGAATTCCAACCCAGATTCTCTCAGTATCCATATTCATCATGTTGATGCATCGGACACCGTCCCGGATGTTTTTCAAACCACTTCCGGATACAACTCAAATGGAACTTGCAAAAGCATTCCAACCGGCCCATTTCCAACCCGGGCTCGTATTCCTCTAAACAAATTTGGCATTCCGCATCTTCTTGGCAATCTTTCTCTGTGGCAATATATGAAAAGACTCCTGTGCGTCGAGGTTGCGAGGGTCCAACTGATGGAGTTGATGGGAGAGGGGGAGGCATGACTGGCGTGGAAGAGGCAGAGGCGCGAGAGGAGTTTGATTGAGTAGATGTCTGGGTGATAGGCAGAGCTGGCCGTGTTACCGATGGGATTGGTGGGGTAGGTGTTGAAGTCGGGGTACCAGTAGAAAGCCTAGATGTGGTGCGCTCGATACAAGAGATTATATGTTCAGATCGAAGAGTTTCTGCATTCGCGAGGGATGTGGATGGAAGTTCATGGTGGCAGATAGGGCATTCATCTTCCTCTGGTATTTGAGGCACTCGTGGTAAAGGACGAGTACGTAAGTCTTCGCCTGAAACGACGTATGGTCTACCTGCTGTTGAGGTAGGAGCATCTGGTGCATTTCGTAAGCTGGGAGAAGGACCTCGAAAGTTCCTGAGAAAAGTACGCTACGATAAGTTTTAGCAACAACATCTCATTTTCATAGCGGATTGACAGCTTACCATATCTTCGGTTGTATCCCGCCCCGCAACAGCAACGGTTGAGCTCCTCGAACGTGTAACTTGCCCGGAGCTCAAAGAAGCTCGCTCTCTATACCAATGCTGAAATTCTTCTGCCGTTCGAGGATTTGAACTTGACCCAGCTATTGAAGATCTATCAGAAGTACTTTGCCCACGAACCGTGTGTGGACGATGATCCTGAAGTGGAAACTGAGATTCAGTTGGTAGACTTCCAGGTATAGATGTAGTGGGAACGATGGAACTTTGTGTTCGGCCGTGATATCCGATACCAAAGTTATGTCGCGGTTCCGTGATAGAGCCGGTCTGGTTGGTTTGAGGAGGAGCTACGTTAGGATCAGGTACACAAGGATTACACAGGCGAACTCTATCGCCTCCACCAAACTCTAAAGTATTTGTGCGTCCTTCACCCTGTGGATCATGGAGACGATTATAGGCGATGGAGTTGTATGGAGAGGGATGGTCCGGAGGTTGCACAATGTATTGATAGGGAATTGTAATTCGGTGCGGAGAACAAGAATTGCAGACCACACGGCCACATTTTCTAAACGAATTAATACGGTGAATCAGAAAGGGGCTATCCAATGTAGTTGAAATTCAACAACATACCGACAATGATGCTTCCTGTTGAGCCAGCCAAACCAAGCATTGCAAATAGGACATCGAGTTACCTCCGAGTCCGGCTGCCATCTGGGAACTATAACTTCACCATGTAGAATCTCTCGATCCCTAGTTTGCCGTTGTGTAACACCCGAGGAGGACCGAGATATAGTTGGTGTTCCATCATCATCCGAAGACAAATCCGTGGGATTAGCCGAGCTTCTTATCGGCTGCTCCCTGAGCGAAATGTGGGAAGAGGAGGTACGTCGGCTCTGAGGAGAGTGAGTTGAGGTTCGTCTCGATGACGAAGATTGATATGAAGGTCTACGATCAAACCTAGTCGAGGTTGTGTTTGCCCGAGAAGAGCTAGCCGAGCTTGGAACTCTGTCCAGTGTCGTTGACATGTCTGCCTGATAACCAGCTGTAGAAACACTATGACCTAGGCTGTCTTCCCTCATAGGGGCTTTCCCGAGACTCGAGGCTTGTCTTGGCCCAACGCTACTAACCGAACTTACCTCGCTAGAATTGGAAGCGTTACTTCCTCGACTCATTCGAACCGTCGCCTGGTCATCCACAGCTGCCTCGAATGCTGCAATCTCGCCTTCTACTTCACTTTGTCGGCTACTCCCTGGCTTGACTCGTGATGCAGTCCCGGCGTCAGATTCCTCCCCTGACTCAACCATTTCGTGACTGTTGAAGTTATCTTCGGAAGAAGAGGGGCCCATGAATCCCAAAATGTGTGAGTCCTCGCCGGAGTCACTGCCGTCCGTGTAAAAGTGAGATCGCGGAAAATGACTGGGACTCTTGAGTGGTTGCCCTCCTGGCGTGAGGGGAGCGGAGGAGTTGGAAGGGCCCCCGACAGAAGTCACCCATTGCTCATCCATTATCGCAGGATTTTGATAAATTTCTTGAGTAGCCCGAGTGAATAAGAGTATGTAGGCACTCCAGCAAGTAGCCTTATAATAACTAGAGGCCGATATATATCCTCGATTATCGTATTATGTGATTGTATGTATTGTTGAGTATGCGAATTCCAAAGACCGCAGCGGTAATAAGTCTGGAGAAGGAGAGTTCGTCCGACGCAACAACAGCTTCGCACAAGCCCTTCTTGACTCTGTTTACAAGAATCGCCTGTCGCTATACAGTAAGGCAGAATCACAGAGCGTCGTTATCCGTATCTCCTAGTAATCTGCGAGGTTGAGCGGGGTGGGTTGTACTTCACGCGTCCTGATGATCATCGCATTATCAATTCCATTCTTCTACAAAGTTCAAAACAATCATAATATGAATGCAGAGCCACTCACTACAGTAATTCTATCACAAACTTTCCATAAACCCCATCCAATCTGCTAAACCGACAAGTTGAATACCAACCTCGAAATGGCTAAACACACACACGGCCAACAAATGATTGAATCCGTTTGATTGTGACAAGCAGCCCCCGGTCCTCTTCTTTCCTTTCCTTCCCTAGTCAATATCAGATTTACAGTACTCTGATATATTGTCGCGTAGGACAAATAAACCGTTTCGATATTGCAATAAAATGATGAACAATTCTCGCACAACCCAAGACGAATTTACTCGAGTAATGATGTTTGACCAGTAGGTGGAGGGAGGTACTTGTTATCGCGATAAGAGCTAAGAAAATTATCGGCTATTCCCGTAATCCTTATTAGCTTCGTTGTGGCGGCTACAATATCTATAAACCTAGGTACTCGCTCATATATCGATAGATATTGATATTGGATAATGGGGAGACAATTTATCTCAGATCCTGAAAATAATTGTTAGCTGACCATTTCTATAGAGTCATCCGAAGAACTACACTGAAAACCATCTATTAAATTACAGTATATCTAACTTCCCCTTATCCCACACGTACTTGCCTGCCAGCCGCCCTACCCGCCACTCGGTGGATCAGTAGACCTTAGAAATCGAATGGGAGCTTGCGACAAAGTTGTTTGACCATCATCTTTTCAAGAGTTGTGCAATGAAGTCCGCCAACGCATGCTTGCTACCACGTGCTATTGTGAATGTCACGCAAATAGAAAAACTAACAGAAGAACACAATCACAACATTCTACGTTAGATAGAGATATATCGATGTAAATCTTTGTATTAAGCTGCGGTAGTTGCAGTCGTTGGGACAGAACTTTTAAAATAGTTTTCCTCATCTAGTCTGTATGGTACTAACCCATTGTACTTAGAAGCCATGCCAAACCATCAAATAAGTCATAGTAGTCGATGCGGCGTCGGCCATCGCTCATCATAAGTAAATCAACAACTCTCTAATGCTCCAATAGTCTCAAGGAACCTTGGACTACAACGTTTTCCAAGATGGATCCGGGAGGAATGTCAATAGTTTGTCCTTCAGTTGCTACAATAATAACGGTACCCTTGAGAGTGACACCTCTGCCAAGGTTAACAGCTCCAGTGATGGTCAAATGATCGAGCTCGAGGATTCTTGGGATGCTACTGATACGCTTCTGGAAGTCAGAAACTTTCTTGAAGTCATTACCGAGCTTGATCAAAGGAGCTGGACCGAAACGGCTGGAGTCAATCTGGAGTTGACCGTGCTTCAATGAGTACAAGTCTGACTTGACAAGCATCAAATCAGAGCAGGTCTTGACTGGCAAGAAACGTCTACGAGGTACGTTGACACCATGTGCGTTGTGGAAATGACGAATAGCAGCTCCGACAGCAGTTTCAAGCTGAACGATTGAGACGTCAGACTCGCCCTTCTTGTCAGCTGGGATAGTCTTGTTGTTGGGAATGATCTCCATCTCGAGCTCGTTGTTCTCAACAATGCGTTTGACAGCTTGTAAGTTCAACCAGATGTTATTGGTGTTGAAGTACTTGAATTTCTTAATAGATTTGAATTCATTGGTGTGCTCCTTTGGTACTTGAGCAATTTCGAGGAGACGGACAGAACCTTCGTAATCGATGATGGTACCACCCTTGACATCGGCCTTGGTCTTGTCGGTCAACTCCATAATGTATTCAGACTTGGTCTCAACCATGTGCTGCAAGATGCGGAGATCGACAACAGCGCCTAAGTTGTCAACGTTGGAAAGAAAAAGGATCTCAACACCTCGCTTGATGAGGTTATCGAGAGTGCCAGAGTTGTACAAAGACTCAAAGACATCTCCGTGTCCGGGTGGGTACCAGTCAGAAATTGGGGAGTCGAACGACTTTGGCGCAGGAAGAAGCGAGTCCTTCAAGATTCTTGGGTATCGGGATTGGTTGAATGTGAGAATATCGATGTTGTGTCCCTCGTATTTTTTGATAATGCTTGAAGTGTCTTCATCAGTGTTGAAGGAGTTCATCAAGACGAAAGGAACGTTGACGTTGTATGTGCGGTTGAGGTATTCGATTTGTCGGACGGAAAGATCGAGGAAGGACATTCCATCACGAACTTCGATAACTGATTTAGGACCGACACAACCCATGGAAGTACCAAGACCTCCATTAAGCTTGAGGACAGCCAATTTGTTAAGGAATCCAACCGATTCGGAGTTCGCAAGTTCATTGTAATCGACGACTTGGTTTTGGGCGGGTGGGGCAATGCGATCCCAATCGCTGCTGTTTTCTATTAGACAAAACCGTAACCAGTTATATTAGTAAAACTCACAGTTGATTTCCCTTTGCCTTGTCATTCAAATATCTGCGGAAAAGAGCGAAGAAGTTGTCCATCTCGGTCTCGAAGAGCTATAAAGCGTTAGATGTATGTTGTTCATTTACGGAAAAGTGCTCAAAGCATACCTTCTTCTCTTCGGGGTCTGAGACGGTGTCTGCGAGGTTGTTTAGGGCATTTCGCATCTGACTGGCAGCTACAGATGTTGAGGTGTTCTCGAAAGCCTGGTTATTGCTTGTTAGTCTAGCTGGACTCAAAGGTTTCATGGTAGGAGGTACAGCAAAATCTTGTGGCTCAGATTGGGATAAAATGGCAGGATGTAGTTCGACAGGTGGTGGGTCAAGATCAAATGTAGAGTCATATTGTATATCGATTCCAGGACTCTGATGATGTAGTGCCATTGCTCCATCCGAGCTCCCTGTGGCATGCATACAAACACCAGGTAAATACAAACACCAGATTCGAGTCATTGATAATTAGAAATTATGAACATCCACTAGATGGTACAAAAACTCAACTCCTGTCATGATCTTTATAACAGCAGAACTCCATTTCAGGTATTGTATCTTGCCATATTGGGGATCAGTTTATTTAGAACAGAACATTCTCACTTCTGCCACTTTGAAGGGTGAAGATTCGAAGTCTTTGTAGGTGATTCAGGACAAAAGGTAAGATGAATGTTGACATGATGTGAAAGAACAGTGCATACCATGTGTGATTGTGTCTTTCCATGGTGCTTACGGGCAAATTCGCCGGCATCATTTGGAGATAAGCTCGAGGGCTTGAGGTGAGAAGGAAGAGCACTTTTCAAAGTTTGTGCCATTTTGTATTATATTTTGATGTTATTCGAAGATTCGCAAGAGGAAGTCAAACGGTTGGGTATGTTGAGGAAATGAAGTCTAAGCTTTCTATTGAGAGGAAGGAGAAGTTTAGTTAGCCGATGTGATCAACAGTGAATTTGACAGATTGATAACAGGGAAATCTGGTTGGAAGATATGCCCCGCCAAAGCCAATAAACACAGGTAATTTGATCACTTACTCAAAATGCAAAGAAGGTATTCCCACGCAATAAACACACAGAAACCCTAAAATGAAGGGAAAAGTATCAAGTCACAGAGAGAGAGAGGGAGAGAGAAAGAGAGAGAGATAAGTTGTAGGATGGATTTTTGTCTCCTTTATATGTTGTAGACTAAAGTAGTAAGTCAAGGTAGTAGTGAACAAATGGAATACGTAGCTTTGAAATTATGGTCTGAAATAATTCTGGTAGGGGGAAAGGGTTTGGATGGGTTGAGGGGCTGGGCTGTGGTTAGTTCTGGCTAATAGAATGAGTGGTTTCTTACAAGGATTTACCACAATTTTAGTCTCATTCGCTCATTCATTCCATCCCCCCGATAAAATTGTTAAAATTGTTGTTACATCTACCAACCAAGAATCCACGGTCTTGCATGAATTACACATCTTGCTGGTGTTACTTATCGTTGTTCTCCGGTTCTTCATCGTGGTATATACATATAGTAAGTGGTTTGAAGTTCTTCAGATGCAATTTCATAGCTTCACAAAGTCACAGACAAGACATTCTATATATATATATACCACCTGAATTCTGGTAAATCTGTCTCGACCCTTAGAGTTTTAGACTACCATATCTCCACCTCAGATCTACGACCGTATTATCATTTTACTATGGAGAACTTCGACTCCTAATTCAACTTTAGCTTCATATTTAGGTCTTCCATTCTCTCAACTTCTCAAGCCGAAGAAGGAAAAGAGGGGTTCAAGGAGCTATTCATCCACCAACCTCAAAAATCATAATTTCCGGAAAGTCTAATCACGTCGTGTTATCAGCCGCAACTGGTCATTGGAAAATGCCGACAAAAACAAGAAAAATACATTCACACAACAGTTTTATCCTATCCGGTACATTGAGAAAGCCAGTGGCCCATCTAGTTCCACGCTCCTTTCAAGCGCCAAAATAATACGAGCGGTGCCACCCAATCAAATATGATTTGGAAACCTCCTCGTTGGCTTTTCTTGTCACACTTAAAGAAGAGACGACAAGCTCGTGATAATTACCATACATTCATTTGTGTCTCATCCAGCCTTAACCTTAGTTGCCACTTACCAGGCTTACCCAAATATTCAGGAAACTCGGTTTGTGCAACGACGCCTTAAAACAACCCATTTTCAGTATTGAACGTCTCAACATTTCTTCACATGGATATATACTACCGATATCTAAGTTCTCATGCAATGGTAAGGTAGCATCAACAACACGTGATACTCAATATTACAAGGAGGTCACAGTGTTGATTCTTGATGAAGGTTTTGTTGCATATCGCATTTCAGAATGAGACATGCATAAAGATCCATCAAATCAAATTGAATTCGTGCATGAGATAGCTTTATCACATGAGGGGGGTACTTTTACTTCTCAAATTCAGTTATTGATCCCCTTCTGCTTCTGCATCTTCTAGGACTAGAGATCTACTGTACAAACTCTCTTCTCTCCAAGCTCTTTTCAAATTCGCATAAGAAAGCACTTCTGGAACCGACACGGTGAAAACACATCACTGTTCAAAACCTCAAATCGGCCTGACCCGGACTGACTTTCTGTAGACTTAATATCGGTTTGAGACATTCATTGAGAACGTGTTCTTCTCATGTTCGATATAACAAGTCCCAGACTCCCAGCACAAGTACAGCACATCCAACCTTCCCCACAATCGGCCCCATCCGGCATAACATCACCAGAGTCACCACAACTTCAAAGCATAAACTCCATATCCCTCGGTCTTCAAAGTTCAAAGCTAATCAAATTATCAACATAGCATATATACCTGGATTCTACAGTACCTTCTGACCGCTCTTTGAAGCCTCGACTGAACTCTACATTATATGGTACCATATTATACCATACCATACCATTCGAAACAACAATCCGGTACACTAGGTCACAGCAACCAAATAACATACTAACAAACCTCTACTGTACCTACCTAGGTACTTCTATAATTCACACGGCAAGGCAGTTTAACTCACCGATACTGTACAGTACCTATTACCTATTAGTTGAGCTGCATCTCCCAAAAAAAGGATCCACTTAACTACGAGTACCTCGAGCCTGCTCCTGTCCTGTACTGTACCCCTATAATCGTACTGTATACAGTACTGTAATGACCACCCAGCCCTCAGCGCCTTAACATCTTGTAAATTGTAAGTTCTACGAGTAGAAGACTCGAGTTTCTACTTCGAGTAATAATTAAATATTCACGATAGATACTCATCAGCTCCAAAACCCCGGGTTCAAAACCATCTCTCTTCAATGTTCATACCTACCTACCTACCCCTTATCCTATCAACTCGAGAATTAACTATTCTATGAATCTACTGTATGTATTTATCTACTATGTAATGTTGTGTTATATTAATGAAAAATAAATCAATTATTGGTATCCATCTGATCTGATAAATATACTCGAGTAGAGTAAGATGTGACAAAGGTAAATAAATCTATATGTATATATATCATGATATCGGTACTCTACTCTACTCTCTCAACCAACCAACTTAGATCCGAAACACCCCCCCGCCCCACCAAAACCCTCCTCCTCCTTCCTCTCTTATTTTTTTGGTAAATATATTCTGTTATACTCTACATATAACATATAACACAACGAAAGAACTTTGCTATCCCTCTTCCTCTTCCTCTTACTATCCCATCCCATCCCATTATTCCCTCCTTCATATCCCACCCTCCCTTCCTCCATCCGCTTGATTCTTCACATATATATGTATGTATTTCCGTCCACTTACTCACTTATACTCACTCACATAAACATTTTTCTCACTCTCCCTCTTTCACCCATCAATTTCGCCATATTTTCTTTTAGTGTTTATTGATCAGGTATTGATTCAGCTATCATATCATCTTCTTTCCCTCCCCTCCCCTCCTACCAGTTCAGTCCAATACAGTAGCCATCCATCCATTCATCCATCCAACGATTTCTGCATGAATTAGTACTACTATCACCCATTCCTCCCACAATTTTTCCACCCCAATCCCCCATACCACACCCCTCCATCATAGCCCTCCATCATCCATCATCCACCCCTCACCCCTCACCCCCCATACCATACCCCAACCAAACCAAACCAACCACATGAAGCTCCCACATCATTATCGATCCATCCCAGTACCCCAGTACCCCATTAGCCCAATAGTCCAGTATCCCAATATCCCAATATCCCAGCAGCCCAATAGCCCACTATCCCAATAGCCCAATATCCCAATAGCCCAGCCAGCCAGCCAGCAATTGCATTGTATTGTATTATAAACAAACACAAATACAAATAAAAATTACAAACAACAATTCGTTAATTTCATGCATGAGTCTGCGGTATGATACTCGAGTTGACGTAGATGTAAATGTATTTTGATACATCTACATATACATACACATACTTTCCATCAAACAATTCTGCAGACCTCGCCAAAGAAATTTCGCGCAAAACAAAGGAGATATTTTGATTACCAAGACGAAATATCTCGAGAGTCAAAAAAGGTTTGAGTGAGTGAGTGAAAAGTGAATTAGGGTGTTTTCTCTTTCCTACGTGGGTAGAAATTACATACGAGTACTCGCTTTCAAAAGTATTTTCACGTGGTATTTTTGTTTTCAAGTATCTTATTTGAAATTTGTTGATGGTTTGAACTTCTCATGCATCCATCCATTCATATTCTTTTTAAAAGCACAGTAATATTTCGTACAACTCTGCCTACCTATGCCTATGGTAGATATCTGCGCCGTTATGATCATTGTTGCTATACAGTCGAGCCCGTCGAAGAATCGCCCCTATTCCTTTCCATTTCCATCTAAAGAGCCATGCCATTATCATCGTCGTATCATTTCATTACTTTCGTCGTTAAAAAGTTGTGTGTTCCGAAGAGCTTTGTTTTCCCTCTTTCGTTTCGTCCATCCTTCCATACTTCCGTTGATTCGTATTCGTCTTCGTCTTCGTCTTCGTCTCCGTCTTTGTGCTAAAAGTGTATTCTTCCTGTGAAATAGAGGACCACTACTACTGCAGCAGCCACAAGGATTGCCACCAAGAAAGTGACTCCAATACAAATGAAGCGGCATCTGCGTTTCTCCTTGTATTGTTGATCCAGCCATTCTTCACCTCCGCTATTTCCAAACACAGTATGGTCAGCAACAGCCCTTCTGCTAATCCGTACACTTTCTTTATCTCTTCCGACATACAGCCCTCCGTCCCTCCCTCCATCTCATCCTTCCCCTCCCAAACCATAACTCCAAATAGAATAAGAAAGAAAAACCTACCCATTAGAATCTTTTCTCATCTGCACCCTCTCGCTAGCAAACCCACTCTCCAACTCCTTCAAATCCACTTCCGACATATGAACCGCCGTCGAGAATCTCTTCCAAAACATCGGATCTCTTACTAAACCTATGCTCTGCGATTGCATGGAGATGGGTCTTTGTGAGACTTCTCGTTGCAAGGGTGAAGGACGATGTTCCTTGGCCCCGAAATTGCGTGGTTTTCCTCCCATTTTGTTGTGTTGTTGTAGGGGTATAAAAGATTGTGGACGAGGAGGTGTTGTGAGGAAGGTAATTTGATCGGAACAGAAGGTGTCGGGAGGTCGTTGTTCATGCGACCTTTGTTAGATCGATCGAGACAAAGAGATGGAGATTATCTCGAGGACCAGTATGTTTATAAATCTCGAGGATCGGTATGTTTGTGTGAATGAATGGATGACGTTGATGTCGATTGCGAAAGTGAGTGTAAATAGACTACCTGTAAGTGTTCAAATATATCCGAATGTTCCGAATATTTCAAATATCAAAAGAGTGTAATCCGATCCCCTCTTCAATTTCCTTTCCTATGATCTCAAATCTCGAAAAGTGAAAGACAGTATGATATAAAAAGTGAGAGTGAGGTTTAGAAAGCTTCAACTTTCAATAATTTGACGTTCAGGTTCATCAGTGTTTGTTTGGTAAATAGAACTGAACAAAAGACAAGACAAGAAACTTAATGAAATGAAACGAAACGAAATGAAACAAAACAAAACAAGACAACCTCTGAGATGAGATGAACTTGAACTTGAACTTGAACTTGATCAATTGTTTGTAATAAGAAAACTCAGACCCAAACCACTTCTTAATACACCGTTATTAAGTTAACAAGCCAGTCTTTTCTCAACCATACTTATTACTCACCGGTTCAGTTAAGAGTTCTCAGACAGGAAAGAACCCTGAAGTGGTAAGATGTTTGGACCCACACTCACAATCTAATCTAATCGATTTATGGCTGTGAAAGTGTAAATGAAGAATGAATTACCTGCTGCTTTAACTTTCTTTTCCTCTTTTATATAGAAATTCTACAAACCCCTAATTAGATATCACCAATGGCAACCATACAGCAAAAGCAGCAACTAATAATACCGCTGGCTGATAGATTATTACAGGGCTCAGGAAATTAGAGTGGAAATCACGGTTGCACCACCAAATCAATCAATTATCCAATTATATACATCAACGGGAAATATAAGGGGTGTGATATTAAAAATTAATAAACCTCAAACCTCAAACTCGACTATTTTATATTTATTACATGTGGATATACTAGGTATGTTATATTCCGATTGCTATTGCTATTGCTATGGAAGATTCAGGAGAAGAAGATATGATGTCGGATGGGTAATGGTACTACTGTCAATAGGGGGTTGTTTTGTGAAATCTCAGGTATGCTGAATACCGGTATGATTCAGAGCAATGACCTATGAGTTGTCCCTATTATATAGGAGTACGTACAGCATACCCGGTACATTTACATTTACATTTACATCACCTCTTAATAAACTAAAACTTAGCACCGGTAACAATAAACATAGAAATAAATAACGTCCTCCCCCCCCTACATCTACAATCTATTTTCTATTTACCCATCCTATCAATACCATAATCAGCACACCCATCACATTGCATCATCGGCTCTCCTCACCTTATTCGCTCATACGCTCAGCTTATCGATAATCGGCTTGCAGCAACGCAACCCCTACAAAATTACCAACACGGCACGGAACGAACCATATTCCATCCCGGCAACCCCCCAGCCCAGCCCAGCCCAGCCCAGCCAAAAAACATGGGTAGCATCACCCCCGTCCCCTTCCTCCCCTACTGGCAAACCAACATACCCCCCTCCCTCCGCACCCGCGAATGTCCCACCTACCTACAAAACCTATCCCACAAAGACATAAGCATACTCCATACGCCCGACACCCTATTCCAACGCCTAAGCTGGCCCCTTATCCTCCAAATCATCCACTCCAACCGTCTCGATTTATTCCAGCGCAAACCCTCTGATTTACGTCTTTATCTCGAATTTTGCTATAATGTCAAGAGGCAATATGGTTCGGTGATGCGATATATTCTTGATGTGGAATTGCAGTGGGATGACTCGGATAAGGATTCGTGGAGTGGTGAAAATGAAAATGGAAATGAAAATGAAAATGTTTTGAGAGTACGGGTTAATGATTGGCCTTATGGTGTCGATGAGAAAATCGTACATTTAGTTGTATGGTCGAAATGCGCATGGGAAGATGATGCGGAAACGGGGGATATAAGGGATGATGTGAAGAGGGAGATTGATAGATGGGTGGATAGGATTTTTGGGGAGAGGTGCGGGAGTGAGAATGTAAGTTACCTAGTATTTGTTTTTCTATATATGCACGTGGAGTTCTTGTGTTACCGTGGTTTACCGTGGGCTAATTCGCCCGGGGATGATATTGACGAGCCGAGAGAGCTAATGATGAATCTCATTTATAGGTGATTTGGTTTAGAAATTGGAGGAGTTTGAAGTCGATTCATGCGGTGGAGCATTTCCACGTAATGCTCTATGATCCGGACCCGGAATTTGTGAGAGAGGTGACGAAGAGAGATATTCGATGTCGGGGGGGCGTTATGGTAAAGAGTTGATGAGAGGATGATTACGGGTGGAGTTGCTGGTGATGTTTAAAGAGTTGATATATCGGAGGTATTCAAAGGTATTCAACAAAGTAATAATATAAATATGGGACGTTAGACACGGAGATGGAGAGACTAATCATAAGTAGAGCAAGAGGACAGGCGGAATTTTAGACTTAGATAGACATAGATTTAGAACTGTTTTGTTAAGATTTTGATCTATTCACATTCTTACAACCACCAAGTGTATGTTGTCCTCCTGCGCTTTCCCATGGCTTTAAATACCATCAATACCACATCCGGGAATTCAGGTATACCTAGGTAATCTTCGTAACTCCTGCACTATCCAATCAAACGCCACAAAGTACCGAATTTGCCATACGCCCGCTTCCTTAAACGCGAACGATCCATTTCATCTTACCAAAGCACTGGCCTAAGCATACTCTCCTGGTACCCCCAGACCATCTTCCCTCTGTAATCTATAAGATTCTTCTTGCTCCGCCCTCTCACGGATTTCGTCCTCGACGTCTTGCTTCCATGCTGTCAAATCGGGTGGGATTTGTTGAAATTGTACACTCGGTGCTTGTTCTACAAAGCGCAGCTGTTCGTGAATGCTCGACACGATCTCAATTATCCTTTTATCTGTATTGTGATTCCGTCTGGCTCCATTTTGACCCTTGGCACTTAATAATTCAGTTAAGTCTGGATATAGGGGTTGGTCTCGGAAATGACTGAGATAAGGTGTGTGCAAAGGGATATCCTGATGTAGCTTTGCACCAATCGCAATGCTAGTTTCGTTTGTCCAAGCACGTGCAACATGCCGAGGTGTGTAACCGCCTCCTCCGACAAGCATAAGAGGTATATTCAAACTCTTGACATACTCAACACAAGCTCCGTGGCCTTCGATCAGTACATTGAATGTACCGATGCGATCACCTGCAAGTGAATCGGCTCCACATTGAAGGACTATGGAACTAGGACGAAACTTTTCGACACATTTCGAGATGACTTGTTTGAATACACTTAAATATTGCTCGTCATCGATGCCGTCGAGCAAAGGGACGTTAATCGCGTGATGGGCACCCTCATTGCTTTCGTCTGGGGGGCCGGTGTCATCTAAACTGCCCGATCCAGGGAAGAAATTTATGGGGTCGTATTTGTGGAATGAAACAGTCATAACTCGACTCGTTGACCAAAAGGCTTCTTCTACCCCATCGCCGTGGTGGACATCTATATCGATGTATAAAACTCTCGGGTGCTTTCTCAAAAGTTGGAGTATTGCAAGAACAATGTCGTTCACATAACAAAATCCAGAAGCTCCGCTCTTCTTGGCGTGATGTAAACCTCCAGACCAATTGATGGCAATATCTGACTCCCCGCTGCAAAGTTTGCGGGCAGCATCAATCGATGCACCTGAATACATCGAACAGTAATTAAAAAGCCCATCAAAAACAGGACAATCATAACTACCAAGATTGTATGGTTTGTCATCCAGGCCGTCCGGCAAACCGACCTTGGCAGTCTTTAGATATTCGAGATAATCATGAGTATGAAAATCCTCCAATTCCTCTTGGGTTGCTTTCCGCGAAGAGTAGGTGTCCATGGCAGCATGCATGCCGTATGACATGATCAAACTTTTTGCTAGAGTCAGACGCCATGGTTTCATTGGATGACTTCTGCCAAAATGATGTTTCTCGACATTTGGGTTTATATGGAACGAAACATTATATCCCGTCGGTTTAACGATTCCATTCCTTGAAATTTCCTCTCTGACTTCGGCAGCCCATTTGACATTATCGCAGTCATCTGGTTGTTTTAGTGGGACACCATATTCTTCGACTATCCCGTCCATCTTGGGTATTGTATCCAAAGGCTGTAAAGAATTGTGTCGAGTTTAAATTATCCGATTTTGACTGTTTCCTTAGTCGTCACAGTAAAGGTCATTGGGTAAGTGATTGTGGATATGAAGAAGGATCATGCAAGGTCTAGAGAATGCGCTCTGCATAAAAATACGAATTAGCTGATAGTAAAATGGTTTAAAAAGGATGCATATATACCGTAACTTTCGCCTGAGACCAATTGATAAGCATACAAATACCTCCTACGTAGAGTCTCTGTTGATGTGTATCTAGCTAGCCCAGCAGGCAGTATGTACTAGCAGAACTCGAGCTATATATCTGCAGTGAGATATGGATATGATTCCTTCCTATCCTCTCATAGGAACCGATGGAGTGAGATAGTGAGATACCGGTAGTAAAGTTTTGTCCTATTGGAGTAAGCTCGATAGTAGATCATTGAGGCTCTGTCTGCGGAAGAAATAAAGTACCGGTAAAACTGCATGCTTACTAATTAGCTTCAGCCTTAAAAGCATCTATATGGGGGGGTTTGTTGTGGGATTGATGGGCAATAAAAGGTCCAATGGTCCAATGTCATTCTTTCTCTTTGACTTTGCCGGGCGGCTAACCTTTATCTACTAGGTACCTACCTACTTTATTTATCTTACTTCTTGTTCCCTCTTTCCCTCTTTCCCTGCCCCTCATATTGGTTTGTAAAAGGAAAATTCCCAATTTTCTTAATCAGATGGGATAAGATCGCGCTGGAGCCACCTAGTGACTGTACAGATTACCGGTAACTTTTATCATCGATATTTTAACTTCATCTACAGGTAAGCTGTCGCAACTTCAGTTTTGCATCAAATTCAAACCATATTTCCATGATATCCGTAACTTCCTATCCGTCTTTTGATTTTGTTTTGGCTTTCTTCTTTTTTGATATCGTATCCTACTACGATACTTGCATAATACCTACGTTTGCTGCGGGTTTCCCGTCAACGTTAATAACAATGCCCAGAGACGACCTTTCCATCGACTTTGTCCCCAAACACAGACACAATATGCCACAGGTCGAGCAATTAGATACAGCGGGAGTTCTCGATGATTGGATCAACCGTGTCGCGAATTTACCCCACGAAATTGCTTTTAAGCAAGATGAGATAGGAGAAAAGGATAAAGGAATGCAAGAGTGTCTCGCCATCGTAGCAAAGCACGATGCCGCTCTTCAGAAATGGACCAAGGCCAACGGGGGACACCAGCCAAATCCAAAAGAAGCAGCCTTGAACAGGATTATTTTGGAGAGTTACGAAAGAGCAGAGCGCCTTCAGGATGAGAAAATCAAGTTATCCAGAGATCTAGAAGCCCTTGTTGAAGGACATGTGCGACGACTCGACTTACAAATCAAAGGATTACAAGATAGAGGAGAATTTCCACAAGATCCGGATTTGCCTTCGCTACTACGACCGCAATCGATCGATCACGCCCGGTTAGCCACGCATGCCGCCACGAGACCGCTGGGTGAGATCATAAATTCGGTCTCGTCTCCTCATTCACGCCACCCGAGCAATTCTAGATTATCTGCCAATATCAATCAACATAATGGCGCAACCACGTCTTCTGCACCGGCAACGCCAGCTGCCACGCTGCTATTACAAAGACAAGTTCGGGAGTCATCTCTTGGCGCGATCAACAAGCGACCAAGACTTACTGGAGGGCTGGGTACTTTACCAGCAGCTTCTAGTGGGCTTGCTCGCCATTCGTCAATGACTCCTGGTACCCCTCGTGGAGGTACACCATCTGCTGTCCGTGGTGGTAGTGCTGGACCAAGAAACTCGCAGAAGAAGAAAGTTGCTCCGCAGGGCAGCAGACAAAGTGGCGCTCCGCGCAAAGGCAAACCTGGAAAATCCGGCCTGAGCAGGTTAAAGCGGGGACACAAGAACTCGCCGTCCTCTGCAAATGACAGTGAGCTTAGTGATGCGGAGTCTGGTTCTGTCGAGGAAGAAGAAGCTGCGGGACGTCAAGGCAAGGATGTTGATGGAGACGACGAGATGGTTGATGTTGATGATGAAGAGGGTGGAGATGATAAGAAATACTGCATTTGTCACAATATCAGTTATGGGGACATGGTGGCTTGCGACAACGAGGACTGCCCTTACGAATGGTTTCATTGGTCTTGTGTTGGCGTCAAGAGTGATCCCTTAGGTACCTGGATATGCCCAGTCTGCACTCCTAAAATGATGCCTAAAAGGGCCTAAGGAATGATTTGATTATAGGCGTTTCCGGATTACCATGGAGGAGTTCTGGAGTAAACACAGACACAAATTATCCACGGATAAGGTCACGAACCAAGGGCGTTTATTGCTAGAGGTAGCTGGTTATATCTAAAATCTGTATAAATTATCAATTATGTATACAATCATTTTATTCTGAAATCGGACCAATGTCTATTTGTTTGTCTGTATACAAGAATGGAACGATGAGGCAATAGTTAGCATCATTCTTCAATATGTATAAATAATACTATAATTATTCTCAGATTTCCTTGTCTTATTCTCTGTAAAGACTTCTAAGAGCAAACTATTACAAAATTCTCAGAAAATACGTATCTAATTAATTACTCTAGTATTAATATATAGTTAAAACCATTCAATAATATCTAAGATTGATTCGTTTAGATCTAAAATCCATAATCCTATTTGTATAGATTTACTATATTTGCTATTTATTACTTTTATACAAACTATAAGTATAGCAATAGTTTGTTATAAGAGTCATTATACTCTATTGAAAAGAGTAATAATTCGTCTAAGAATAGTTAAATATACACCGCCTTTCTTATTCTGCCATAGATATAAACCCTTCCCGCAATTCTATCAAAATACTTTAAAGCTGCGTTATCATATCATACTGGGTAGATACCTACCTATGCAACGAACGAACGTTCCTTCTTCAATCCAACACCCTCTCTCAGTTGAAAATAATTTAGTCATGATGGAGACTCAGTAAGTCCTTTCTTCCTTTGCTGATTCTTTGCTTTCATCCTCAACAACAATAAACATAGCAAATACAACAATTCACCATTGATATTCCTCTCGCTTTGAACCTCGCACCCATTCTCATTCTCATTACTTTTGCTTTCAATTGAAGGGGCATCAAACATTGATTTTCCTGCATTTACTAACATAGTATTTGTTTATCAAAGAGTTGATCCTAGTGATACTTCTGAGATTCCTAGTGAAGTAAGCATTGAAGATCCATCTACATTGCGCCCAAAGATGAATACTGAACAGAGCAGATTCATCCATCTGGTTTAGATATGTGCATGAACAAAACTCTTTGGGAGCTTTCGAAGGGCCGCGAAGAGCCTGTCGCTGTCATTGGCATCAAAAACTTGCAGTTCACGCTTCCTGTTGGAGCTGGAGCATGGAGCTGGGAGGGCAATATAGCTGATTGTCCAGCCCAACCAGTCCTCGTCTCCATGTCAGTTTCTCTGCGACAACCTTTCAAAACGGCGTCTAAAGGTGATGACATTACGGATGATACTATTCATTATGGTCGTCTTAGATCAGGAATCATCCAATCTGTTGAGAATTATAAGTCACGATTACCCGATCCTCACGATAAATTGGGGATTCTCTTACTTTCATCAAGTATTATACACCATTTTACATTTGAAGACCAATTGGCGATAGGAAAACACATCACGTGGTCCTCATTTAAAATTATGCTTCCAAAGGTATCCTTACATGGGGCTGGCATCAGTCTCACTTCTGAAATGATCTACAAGATGCCTCCTCTGAAAGAGCAGCTTCCAGACGTAGAAGCTGGTCGTATCCACACTAATGGCCTTTGGGGACGCAGCAGTACCCTTCGAGTGCATGACCTTACAGTTTCCACCATAATAGGGATGTTGGAAAAAGAACGCATCAGAAAACAGAAGGTGGTTGCGAATGTTGAGATAGACAGATGGCACTGGCTAGGAGATGATCATTGGGACATGGAGCAGATAATTTTGAAGGTAACCAGCCTCACATGTATTACTCCTGTCTAATTTAGCATGTGTATTGACTCGATTGATCGTCTTTAGACAATCGAAGAATCGACATTTAAGACTCTGGAAGCACTGGCAGAGCACATATGCAAACGAGTCGCCAGATACTTTCTCATTCCTATGATAGTTAAAAGGCTCCGCATAGACAGTGCAAAATATGCCAATAAATGGGAGATTTTCGATGATGACTATACAAAGAATCCCTGGGAGGAGACAATTGTATCCTACTTGTGTCCGTTCATAAAGATAAAGTTGGAAAAGCCGGGCATATACCTGGATACAACACCTGGTGTTGAAATGACCATGGACATACGGCCCTCACCAAGGTCGCCATATTTCTATCTGTGGAAGGGGTATAAGACGTTGAAAATTCCTGATCGTCCCTTTGAGGGCACACTTAAGGATTGGATTGCGAAGAATGACCCGGAAGATCTAGATGATAGAGAAGACCCCGCTAAGCTACATCTCCAGCGAAAGTTTGAAGCATTCCAAGCCGAAGTCGCCGAAGCCAGAAGAATTACGGAGGAAATAAATTCTCACGCATCGGCCTCCAGTTCTAAACCCTCTTTACCAAGTATAAAAAGGGAACCATCTTCACCAAGAATAAAAAGGGAACAAGAGTAGCATTCTTTCAACGATATTATATTCCCAGGGGTCCGACTTTTGTAGCTTGTATTAGAGAATGTTGATAGCGGGGCGCTTGTTAATGGGTTAGATGTGTCTATTGAGGATGTTTGTTTAGAGAGACGACAGCGGAATCTTCAGAAGTCAAGGAACCAGCTTTTACCAGCCATTTGGGTTACGTTTCGATGTATTGAACTGCTGTACTGTACCGAGCGGGCTTTCAAGAAACATGCGTTAAATATTTTGCACATGCTTAGAATTAGCATTTATTAGAGTATCAGGAAAAGAATATACACTTTACCAGCCATGAGCTATTTGGACTTGAAACAGAAGTCTTCAGCTGTTTTCTTGTGGCCGTTATTTTGCCTTTGTCATTACTATTTACGAGCTAATGTTGATTTGAGAATTGACTTGAGGAAACCTAGGCCACAAAGTCACCAAGTTTAGATCGATCACTCTTCTATACTCGAGCTATTATTTCTACTGATATAGTATATACACCTAGCCATAGCAAACAATATTGGATATCTTGGCAATAAACTCCTAGAAAATAAAAAATGCTTCCTGTATGTATGCTTGTGCCAATTTTTCCAAATCCTGGCACCCCTCGCTTTAAAAAGAGAAGAAACGATATTCCAAAACAACCCCTTTTTCCATGCATCAATACATACTATTTCGAGCAAAGAACATCACATCCACCCCCAAAATTGAATTCTAAGTTATAACCTCTCCGAACTCTCTGCTCCAGGCATAACCACCTCTCTTGCATGTTCTGCCTCAATTTCCAAACCGTGTCTCTTTATCATGTATGATTTCCATGCTACAAAGGCACAGAGAATTATTCCCACTACTAATGCTGAGCCCATCAACATCCCATTGATGGGTATTGGGTTGCCACTAAAGACCTTGTGGAGTAATGCATCTAAGCCGCTTTGGCTGAAATTGAGGATGCCGGCGAGACAGATGATTAACCCGTATACGGTGCCGAATGTACGGAATCCGAAGACTTTGGCTGAATAATCGGATACGGCGGTGTAATAGAAGGGGCGATAGAGGACAAAAAGTGAAATGTTGGCATAGGCGGCCCAGGAAAAGGGGAGCATGCCGAGGACACCGATAGCAGTGGCGATGGTCACGAGGAGGGAGAGTACAAATGTGGTACTGGTATTGTCGAGAATCAGGCCGATGAATGGGATTGAGAGGACGCCTCCTAATGGAAGAGCTAGATCGAAGAAGGTGTTGACTTCGACGGCTTGGTCGTAGGAATTGAGGAGATACTCGTATTGTGGGCGGATGGTGGCGACGAAGAAATTGATGCGTGTCATTTGGATGACGGTGAAGAGTGTGATGAGGACAAACCACGGAGACAAGATCTGCTGTATGACAGTCTTCCCGTGTAACGCTCCCCACACCCCGGAGATTTTGTTCTTGCGTTCTTCTTGTTTGACTTGCTTACTGCCGGGCTTGGTTCCCAGAAGTTCGGTTATTTCTGAGACAACGGATGCGCGACGCTGGCGACGTTCTTCGCGGAGGAGAGCAGTGGTTTCATCCATCTGATCGTCGAACAAATATTCGTCTTCAACTTGTTTAACCATCTCGCCTACAGTCTTGTACGATTGCGATGGCATGACCAATATTTGTGCGACGAGAATGAAGGCGGGCACGACTAGATAGATGAGAAAAAATTGTTTGATGTGAAAAGTACCATCACTCCACTGGTATATAATCCGATATACGAGGAAGAGTGCACTAGAGGTGTCAAAGGCACCTTGGGGGGAGTCGTTAGGTCTATATCAAGAGGCAGACCGGACATTACTCACCTGTTAACAGAGCCAAGATCAAACCAGAGTGTTCGGGAAAAGTATTTGAAAGCTGGTAAGAGGTGATCAAAAAGAAAGCTCCTCCAAGGGCCAACAGCAAGTATCCAGGAATAAATCCATCGAAGGGCAGCTCCTCCGCAAAAGCAAAAAGTGCAGCCCCAACCGCCAAGAAAATAGTTCCTATAATTCCGGCTACTCTTGGGCCAAAATTATCCAGGATCGAACCAATTGGTAAAGCTGCAACATTCGTACCAACCGCCGCGATCGTGAACATCAAATTTAAGTGGATCTCTTGCTCAAAGCAAGTTCGCACTCCTTCTTTCAACTCATCTTCCGTACAATATTCTCGATATACACCTTCGCGAATAAGGACCGGTTTGAGAGCTGCATATCCGAACACAATTCCGGCAGCGAGAAGGCAGTATATTACTGCAATTGCAACTTGTACTATAATTGAGAGCTCAATCAGAATATTTCCACTCCATCATTCCATAACATCGGATGGATGTATCCAAATATCCCAAGCTAGTAGGGAAATTCCAACATTTCACCTCGCCACAAACAGTGATCACTTACAGATTCGTTTCCCCTTGGAAACCTCAAACGCAGCCACGGTTTCTACCTCCTCAACCACACGTTGTTGCTGCTCCAATTCATCCCCCCAATTTCCAGGCAAGGGACTAAAACTCAATTTCCTACGCTGCGAACCAGCTGGTGATCTGCCTCTTTCCGGAGACAGAGATTCAAGAGATGTGACTCTTTGAGAAAGCGACATATTTTGAGTTTCAACCTTGTTCCCATTCAATCGATTGTGCTACCGGTACTTGTACTTGTACTTATACTTATAGAAGAAGAAGAAGAAGAAGAAGGAAAAGGCGGTGGCGGTGTCAATCCTTGTGATTTAAATTCGCTGAATGTAGAATAGAATATTGCGGGGTAGGAATATATTATATAGTAAATAGAAATTCAAGTGTTTTGGCGGGGAAAGGTCTAGGCAGAGTACTGAGAGTAGTAATACCGGTAATGATTCAAAGTTGCCTAAGCTATTGCGTCAGAGGTTTGAAATTCTCACACAAACATAACACAAACATTCACAATTGGAAGAGAACAAGTAATATATTTTCAATTGGATTGTATTGATGCGAAAAAAAGAAAGAAGTAGCACACGAAAACTAAAGCTCGGGTTGACTACTAGTAGAGTAGGCTCTTTTAACCATGTCGTTCTACTGCATTAGTATTATTGGTATTAGCATATTAGCTCGTGATCTACATACACTCGAGTAGATCTCGGAGAGGTCCGATAAAGTTCCCTCAAGAAGTGCCTCGATAATTTCGAATTCTCGCCGAAAAATTTAATATAATACTATGAGGAAACTCGAAAATCGCTTATTTCAAAGATCAAAAGTTGCAAAAAAAAAGATAGGAGTAGACGGAAGGAGGCAGACGAATTTGCAAATACTGATCTAGATCTCGAAATTTATTTCAGATGAATTTTCTTTTACACAATATGATGAGCAAATTTCGATATTAACTTCATGGCAAATTATCGAATCAACCACCTATCTATGGATTACCTCCCCATTCCTTTCCATTACCAAGTCAGTCACCCACTCCTCTCCACCCCATGCATCCCCCGTCCCAGCCTTGATCCCTCCCCGGGTGATTAATGTACCAATACTAGGTACGATAGTTTCAATCAAGGAAACTCGTTTGCTACGGTACGGTAGTAATTTTGACACACAACAGAAAACATTTCAATCAGCCATGGTATCTCATCGCCTAGAAAATACGAAGAATAAAAAGAAAACTCAGTCGCCAATTTTTGTCCTCCTACCACTCCCCAAAAACACACAGGAAAATAAAATCATGTTCCTTCCTACGCTCGCGAGAAACGTGGCATCCATCCTAATCTACCGCTGAATCTCGGCCCCCATATGTTATCCTATCCAGAGCCTTGTGTGCCAACGGGTGTGATATCTCTGCTGGTTCGACCAGTTTCTTTCTTGCTGAGTAGACTTCTCCCGAAACCCGAACGAGTCTTTGGACTTTCCGATCCGTTCTCGGTAGAGCTCATGATGAAATTAGATTTCACCGTAATGTAGCCTGCTCCACAACGAATTTGTTTCTCTTGCATTGTGCCACTCTCATCTACGACAAGAGCTCCCTCGCCGAGATCATCGTCCGAACCGAATGTATTGTGTGCCTTGACTGAGACTTGGAAGGTCACATCTGCAGAAGTGGTACATTTGAAGCTCTCCTTCTTCTCGTTGAAGATTATAGTGCCAGTAGGGGATTTGATATGATCAGTCTTGTGGATGACTTTAGGTTTGGCACCAAGCGATTTAACATAAACCATAACGCTTGAAGACGGCGGAAATCCGGACGCAGACACAATTGTGAAGTTTGCAATACCCATAGGCCCGCCTGTAGCACTGGGAGAACCAAACATACCAGAGTGTCCCGAAGCCGCTCCAAAGGACTTGGTTCGTCCATGATTCGATTCTCCTGGAGGAGTCATCGGAGGCATAATTTCTGGGATTGGTGCTCCGGAACCTGGGAGACCACTCACGCGCCTTAGTACACCAGTGCCATTACTTACGGGAACATCGTTCTCTAACTCAATAACAGCGTTGTTATTCACTTCTTCATCATCCTTCTTCTTGCTCTTGAAGCCATGTCGGATGAACGAAGCTCCTTTGCCAACGCCATGTGCAGCGAAGCCAACACCTTTGATTGGAGCTCCTGCAACTCCAGTGACGATTTTGCCTGGTGTGGCAAATGTACCAGAGAATGTCGAGCTTCCTTGTCTCGATCTGGTCACGTAATCTGGGCGGAAGAGTAAGCGTAGACGGATAGACCCCGATTTACCCTCCAATCCCAGCTTCATCTCCTTCGACTTGAATGGTTCCAAAAGATTCAAATTAATTTCAGCTTTGCCCAAGAAGTCGGCCTTGTCACCAAAGTCCCAATCCATAACATTGCAAACAAATTGCGCAGCTGTTCTTGAAGGTATTTCGAGCTCGAAAAATTCGTTCCAGGCTGGGTTTAAAGTCTTCTTCTGCACTTTAGTCTTGAATACCGAGTTGCCATTGAATTCAAACTTGCAATATGGATCAGAGTAGCCGTTACGATCCGCAGATGGAAGATCAACAGCATCCAGAACATCTACTCGAAGTTTACCCATGTTGTTGATACTCTCGCTTGGGTCCAAATCCATCTTGACTGGAATATATTTAAGTGAAACCTTGATATTACTTGTATGGCCTTCTTCGTCTCTTAGCTTGAGTCTATTAGAAGTGTTAGTAATCATCTAAAGTTAGGGTCCTGAAAAAGGAGAAAATTTTGCTTGAATTTGCACTTACATGGTGGGATTATTGAGACACTGTTTCAGGGTAGCTAGTGTCTCCCCACTCAAGCGGGCAATAGTCGAGTCGTTCTTCTCATCCCCTTTACTCTGCTTTTCTCGGATACGTATGGTGATCTTCGAGAAATCGAGCTCGCGAACAAAGCAATCGCCGATCTCGTCTAAGGTCATTTTCTTCGTTTTTATAACGGAGGACCAATATGATGGAAATGCCATATCATCAACAACGACTTCCACATGGACATTACTTCGGGTGAGGTCGCAATCAATTATCTTGAAGATAATAAGACCAGATTCATACTTGAGTAATTCTTCAGGCGTGAGACGAATCTTGGGAAGTTGCTTTTCTTTCGTAGTTTCTTCTTGCTCCTGCGCACCCTCAGCGAGCTTTGCAGCCATCGCAGATTCACTTGAAGACCGGGCAGGCTTTTCTGGCTCATCACCAATCTCGGCATCATTTTTAACGCCGTTTTCCATACCAGTTATGCGACCTCTCTCGGAAGACTCTTTGCGGGCGGCCTCCTCTTTAGCTTCTTCCTCATCTTCAGGATCTGCCACATTCAAACATGGGTAAAATGCCGCAGTATAATTGAGTGTTCCTCTTGGGGAGCCCTTTCCATGCATGCGCAATGCACCGGCCTGTGGGACTTTATCATCGTGTACGATAAATTCTCCATTTTCGAGCTGTCGAACGTAATCGGAAGCCAGCACTTCAATCGATCCCAAGGTACGATCACTGTTGATAGTTTCTTGATCCATAATTTCCAGAGTCAATTTCTCCCTAGCGCTGTGGATGGGCACATATACAACTTCGTCGAAATCTGGGTTGAGATTGTTCTGGAATGTGACTGTTCGACCCTTCTCTATTCCAGATAAGAGTACTCTGACGTAAGGATCAGATTTGCCCAAAGTTTCGAGGTTTCGGAGATCTCGCGCATTCTTGAAATGAAATCTCATTACACCAATTGGTGTAACATAGCCACCAGTGCCTGCGCCCACCCCTTGCAATGCGATTGGTTTCCACTGTAGCGTCAGCTTGGCTCTGCCAGAATTGGCTCCGGCAAGCGTGTACCACTCTTGGCCCTTTTCCATCAAGTTTAGCATATCGTTGAGCTTGATTTGGTATGTACCAAGGATAGGATCGGTGCCGAGCTCTCGATCGTCCTTGATGACAAGACCGAAAGTAGCGGTCTTTCTATCGGTGATGAGAATTTCCTTAGATCCATTGTCCCAGATAGGGTTATTCGTCCTCTTCAATTTTCTTGTAACATGGATTTCCTTATTGTTTAGTAACAGTACAGCATAGGGACTGAGCTGACCAATAAGACTCTTGGTGCCATCGAGGTCTTTAGCTTGTTCAACACAGAAACGAGCAATACCAGTGTTAGATTCAGGAGGTGCTTCAGTCGTACCATCTGGGAGAGCTCGCCCTTCGAGGACGGGAAAGAATCGAAGATCCGCAGATAATAGACCACGTGCCTTGCCATTTGCCAGTACCTCAAGCTGCTCATTTTCATATTCTGTGACTTCTTGCACCCTCTCCAATGGGAAAGTAGCAGTACCGAGTTCTTTATCTTTTCGATACTCATTGTAATCGAATAAAGCCATTGTGAGGCTCTCGGTAAAAGATGTAAGAATAACGTATTTCGTTTCATTCCATTTGGGATTTGCGTTTTCCTTGATAATCTTGGTTTGTGCTAGAGGAGCGCCGTTGTTGATTGACAGGACAACATATGGATCCGGTGTTCCAGCAAATTTGTCGGGATTCTTGAGCCCTTGAGCACCGTGAAGAGTAACAGCCAATACACCAATAGCCTGATCAACAGCAGATCCAGACAGCATTTTCGCGACCTCAATTGGGAACACATTTGGCGCGTACATGATCGGACCAATGTTCGCGTGAATCTGTTCTAAAATAAAACTTTCAAGTCCAGGGATAAAATTGATGTCGAATCCAAGTGTTTCGCCTCCAAGAGGTTTACATACATAATCGATTGCTATTGAAAAGTCAGTTTACAAGGTCCACGAACAGTTCATGATGTATAGATATATCAATAGCTAAGATAGCGTCGAGAAATGCGAAATTTTGTGATGAGATAAGACGTAAATAATTTGAGGGTATTCCAGCTTGCGGCCATGATGCTGTACTTTTCTTATGTGGACCGCGATATTTCCATGTGAGGCCAAAAGACAAGGAAAGTAATGCTTACTAGGTTTTTCCAGGAATGAGATCTCAATTTTTTCCACATGAGGAAACGGAATCTGAAGTTTGATTTTGATACGCATCAAACCCGAAAAGGCCATATCCTCCACAATAACATCTAGACCTTTACTGATCATTGCTTTTCCAATTCGAATTTCGAGGACAACTTTTGGGTTGACCTTATTCTTGATTTGGCGAGCGGTCATATCCGCATGATCGTTTGGGGTGAAGCTAAACTTCCAATCCATGAGTACTATGTCGTCCTCTGCTTTGGGATATGTTTTCACGTGCTCCAGTCGAGGTGGCTTGGTACCCAACGTAAATGTCTTCATGCGGAGACTATCCAAAAACGCTGGAGTTGCTGTACTTAATACTTGATCGACTGAGTTGATGACCGTTTCGGCGAGTACTGGCTGAAATATTGGCCAAAATTTGACCATAAAGCTGTTCATCCATTCCAGACTTTCTGTATCCGTTTCCAGTTTGTTCTTGGCAAGCTCTCGATTAATATCGTCACGGAAGTTGCGTCTCACTCGGCGTATTGAGGTCCTATAATAGGTACCGCATATCGCCATGATAATGAATACCCAACTGAGACCTCCACCAAGGGTGGCTACCAGCCATGAAGAGAGACATGCGAATATAATGACAGCAGTGTTTTGATACCAATCTGTATAAGATTAGAACCATCTCTAAGCAGAATACTGGGCGCCAACTTACCGCCATAAAACTTATCTTCAATTTTGCCCTCAATCCAAGTTTGGTGATCCATGAGACTTTCCCCTTCGATAGATTCGCCAGAATCCCCAGAGCCAAATCTTGGAGCCCAACCAGCTCTTTCGATCCAACGCGCATCCTCATCCTCGTCAACATATCCGTTCGCTACTGGCTGGTCTGATTGTTTGCTGCCTTTTGCAGGAGCTGCGAGAGCTCCAGCAGTAGAGGGGGGTGGTAAGTCGTAAGCTCCCGGTGAGCCATCGTCGATATCTGTAGCGATTGCGACACCTTTTGACTTGTGCTCATGATGAAATCCTTCCGGAACATGCTTCACGAGTTTCTCTATTAGCAAAGCTTTAGAGTATTGGAGAGAATATAACCTACAGCCCGAGCCTGTGCTGCCTTTGCCTCTGGACTCGCATCTGGGTCGAAAGAGAAAGCCAGGACGCCCGCTTTCTGACTCTCATTGACAATCTTCGCTTGCGCATCCGCCGATGTTACCGCGCTATCAGGATTTTGTGCTGCTTCCACTGCACCCTGTTGTTTTAATTCCCCCTCCAAGCCCCTTGTTGTCGACATATTTGCTATGATTGTGCTTTTCCAGACCAATTGAGGTTGCCAAGCTCCAACCGTCACTCAACAGTGCTGGATTCAAACCGACAACGACGTGATGGGTCGCTGGAAAGAGTAGTGAGTAAAATAATAAAAGGGAGCTTCTGATATGCGAGACGTTCAAGAGTTGATTTAAAGTGAACTACAAGAGGCTGTAGATGGCGCGAGGCTAGAAGCTATAAGCTACGGGAGAGTAAGATAGGCAATGAATCTAATTAAATTGACCAATCCCAACCACCTAAAAAATTGGGTAATTTGATAGTAGTTTGACAGATATGAATCATGGATCGACCCTGAACTTAGATACCTAGGTATGTTATTCAGAACTTCAAGATTGCGCTCTTTATATTTTGTGAGGTTGGGAAGATGTTTTTGGTAAGAATGTTTGTAAAAGAGCTTAAATATAAAAGGGATTTGAGCTGATCTCCGTAAATGAATCACGATGACGACAGACAAAGGCCGAAAAGGGTTTTAGAAAGAGTGAGGAGGTACAGTCAGTAAGTAGGTAAGTAGGTGGTAGTATTAACAAAAACAAGCTTTAATTTTGTTGACAACTAACTGTATGAATGGCGAGCGAATAGGGTTGGTTCCTTGTTCTTAATATGGGAAGAGTTGTTTTCAGACATTATTTCTTTCTCTATTAAATATTTCGTACTCTGAAGTAGAGTGGCCCTCTTCTTAATACTCACTCAAGCTATTATGGAGCCCTAGAGATTTCAGCAGTACAGGGCATTCATTTTAATCTAATCGTCGCTTTTTACAACAAAGCGTACATGAGTACAGGGACATAAGCATCATATTCTAACGGTATCACAATTCACCACCCACCCCACCATCAAAAATATGTCAATCGGAACCAGCTGAATTCGAGTTTAAGCATAATTTAGGTATATTAAATGTGTAATATTCACAGTCTCAGAGAATGAATGTCCTCTTGATTACCTTGGTGTTCTATATACTTTGTATAACTATAATTTACCTAGGTAGGTAATCTCCGTATGTAGTGCAGACTGCATTCAGTGAGGAATAGGATGGGCCGATGTAGTCGAATAACTGCAAAGTTGGTTTACCTGCAGATTCGGGAGTTGATAGAGAGATAGTTGGAAATTGGGTTGTTCATTAGCAAAGACATGAAACGTTGGCGTTGTCGATATTGATTGTACATGAATTCATTCAATTGAGCTTTTGCTCATTAGCCATTGGCCATTAGCCATTAGCGGTTGGGTTCAATGGACCTGGACCCTTGAGATATACCGGTACGAGTTACAATAATTACTGTCTCCACCCATTAAGGCTCATTCATTTCTTGTAGACTTGATACGAGTCGTCGCAGCCCTTTATACTTTTATTCATCCCCTGAAACACCGTCCAGTAAGGATCCACGATGCCCTAGCAATGGCTCTCAACCTTTAAAGCATATCTTGGGCCTTGGCTGTGCCTTATATTTTGCGGCAATTTTGATTGTAGGATACCTATCTTTCCTATAATTATACTGACCAGATAAACAACCCTGAACGCGCAAGTGAATACTATTTTTATTGCAATTGCAATTTAATCCTCATCATCTATCTATTCACATCTTTCTTGATTCATTCCTTTCTGGACTTTCACTTTTGTTGCTTCGTTATTACTTGTGTCGTGTGCTTGATTTCCAATTCCAACATTTTAGTAAATCATTGTCAATGAGAAGATGGATACAACCGATAGGAAAGAGCTTGAAAACAAACAGCTCAAGGGTCGATTGATGGGGAAACTATTTGGAAAGGAAAAGAAACCATCCTCGGCAGAAGAGGTATCCGACTTTCTTCATGGACCTACCGATAAATTGTACACGGCCTCATACACCGCAGCATCGAGTACCCCTCCTCGACCGCCTGTCCTTGGTCGAATCGATACATCCAGCGCACGACGTTGGCCCACCTCGGCCGAAGTGAATAATGCCAGGCGCAATCGATCTGCGAGTCCAAAACGTAGTAGGAAAGGATTGGTCGTGAGGTTTACAGAGGCACAACCAGAACTTATTGGTGAAGGAGGCGATGAATGTGCTTCGCCAACAGCCGATATTGCAGAAGCTCTGCGAAGTCGAGCTGCAACAATTCCACAGCAGAAACAAAACCGAAGACCAAGTCCTCTCCCCGCCTATGGTTCACAGGGACCTGCCGACAAATTTGGGGATCCCGACATGTTTAGACCGGGACCTTTACGACGTACACAAACAGGCTTCTCAACGATATCAGATAATGACTCTGCACCAGACGAAGCGTCTTCACCTAACGGAAACCAAAGAAACGAGGCGAGCTATAATGGTACTGCGAGGACCGGATCGCATAGCTCGTTTACTGCCAAGGCGGAAGCGGCGATGCGTGCATCAGAGGGCAAAGCATTGGTAAGAGCGGTGTCAGGTCATTCTGTAGAACGGGAATCCGCGCTCGCAGCTTTGACAGGAACCATTGCTTCTTCCCCACGAGAAGCAAATAATCCAAATGCGATGAAGAATCCACCTTCAAGCTCTTCGTCAGGATTACCGACGAATTCGTTTGGGAGGCCGGAGACACCCAGCGACAGTGGGAATTCAAACCCTACTATCGCGGAAGAGAGCCCTATATTATTTTCAGGAACTTCAACTACCAATTCCGTTAGTGCGGTGGACAGTCCCCCTCCCCCCTCACGAGCCCCAAAGTTTAATCTGAAAGACGCCGCAATTGCCATAGGGGATGATGCCCTTAATGACTTTGCTATACGCACGTCGCATATGTTCACGTTATTTGAACTATCAGCCGAGTCACTGAAACCACTCTCATCATGCTCACTCGAAGAGCTTGTCAGAGGTGCTTTATGGTGGTTTCTCAGAGGCCGGTCCGAACTGGAAAGTAGTATCAGAGATCGATCTACGACGCCAGAAGCAAAGCAGAACAGTTCACTTGCTCGTCAACAAGCTTATGCAAATTTGGCCAAGGTATATTGGCTAATGGGAAAGATTGCTCCCAAATGTCCCGAGATGACCAACCAAAGGACTGTAGATACATTGCAAAACGTTATCAATGATGCTCTGGAATCAAGACAAACAATTTTATCTGGCTTGAAGAAGCTGACAATGGTAAGCCTCAATGAATACAGGGTGATCTAGTTTTGCTGATCAAAAAATCGCAGTCTATGAAACGCAACAATATTCTCCCACCGTCGGGCGAAGACGCACCGTTGCCCCAAGGTATCGATAATCAGATATGGACGAGAGATGAAGGCGACCGATCATTGCTGTCACTACAGCGACCTAATACGACGTTGACATTGTCTGGGGTTCTTCCTTTAGGTGACTCAGACACAAGTTTCACATATGGACGTCACTTTGTGGATGTTTACCTGTTGGAGGAAGCAGCTTCGCAGCATTATCGCTGCCCTTGTCTTCTATCTATCGTTCGAGGAAATAATGAGGAAGACTTGAGTTTCGTAATAACCAACCAAACTGGCACCCTGAAGCTCATGATTCAGCACGACAAAACTCGCGGTCCCACGTGGAATGATGTGTCTTGGATGCAAAAGAACAACTCACTCAACATCAAGCTTCCCCGAGGCTTCGAGCTTCGGATCAATTGTACGCCACAGGATTATAGGAGTCTCAGGGGCTCCTATGATTTCCAAAACAGTGTTCGGCAAAGTCTAGCTCGACTCGAGGACGAAGACATAGTCTTTAAGATGACCATCAAAGCTTTCCAATGTTTTGGCCAAGAAAAGCAAGCACAGTCATTTCCGACAGAAGCTGTGCCGAAATGCGAGGTAAGGTTATTTGAAAAGAGCACTGTTGAAAAGGCAGCTACAGGCCCAAGAAAGAAGCATAGGGGCTTTCGACTTGCTGTCATGACTGGAAAGATGACCAAAAATTTACGAGGAATCGAGAAAAATATCTTACCCACGACTCACATCCAATTCAGTTTTTTACGAGGTGATAATGGCCATCCAGCACTTCTGTTAAAGGTTGATGATGGAAATCCTAGGTCCTCAATGGTCTTTACTTTTGAAGATGCAGATCAGAGGGCTAGATTGCATGCTCTACTCACGGGCGGAGTGATAGGACGTGAAGAGACTGTATATGGTGAAACTCCCATTCGATCATTTGTCATTGAGGAACCAGGAGGCCTAGCGCCGCGCCTCGCAGGCTTGGAATGGCAAAGTGTCCGAATAATCAATGAAGATGCCTTTGATATCCAGACCACCAAGACTGTTCTTTCGGAACATTTAAGAGTTATTATGGATTTTAAAACAGGTACACTCACAGACCGATTCAACATTGGACCTGGGGAGTTGAAACTTCGACTTGATCTTCACTCAACCAATGAATTAAAGATACTGAGGCAACCTCAGCACGATATGACCATAATGGCGACTCAAGCACAGGCGTCAAATCAGTCTACCAAGGAATTTGCTGAAGTGCTGGGGACAATTGCGAGAGCAGAAACAACCCGCACTTATGTCTTCCCCAGCCTGAGAGAACTTCATCTCTTCCAAACAGCATTGACAGGATTTATTGTTGTTTTTGATGGCAGGGCATCATCTTTCAACATTTCGCGGCGAAGAATGGTGGTACCCATCTACAAAAAATGGGATGCTGCCATAACTAGATTGCAAGTGGTTCAAAAAGAAAGAACCGTGCAATTGCTTGCTTTCTTTGAAAATTTTAATCACGGGGACTGTATGGGCTTCACTTTGAAATCCACCGATACATTTGAGAGCTCAAACAAGAGTGGAAGGTTCTCTCTACGCATTGTTGACGCAAAGTTCTCTATGCCAAAGCCTCGTGGTGAAGGACAAGATAGTGGTTTCGTCAACTTGGATGTAAGTATTTTGTCAAGACACTAACATTATTGCACCAGCATGGATATCAATCAGCTAATATCCTTCAGATGCCTGACTACCCCGGCGAGCATGATGATATCACAGTAGTATTTGATACGGAGGCGGGTATGTGCGACGTTTTATTTTCTCATTGACTTTACCCAGACCCCAATATGTGCCCTGGTTTCCCGGCTTCCTAGCAAAGCTATAGGTTATCCAGTCCAATCGACCGGTGACAAAAGAACGCGTTGATGTTCATATATACAGGTTTTCGATTGCTAACTCTCCTATTCAGAACGCGATACATTTACCAAATCATTACCCGCGCCAGTAAAAATGGCTTCACGAATGGGATCAGTAAGGAGATAAAAGCAAGCTTTTAGACATATAAGAATTTGCTACAAATAGCACGTGTTATATGGATGCGAGGCGCACGGCGCATATTCTGGAATTTGAATATTAGCGAATAGCATTACGGAGAGATATCCATTATTGTGCTGGGTGTTTTTTGGGTGCTGGCAGCAGCATTATTGCCATACAATCAACATTGTACGTGGAGAGCATCGGTCTTCTTTTCCGGAGCTCTCATCATAGAATCTTCAAGTCATCTAGATGCGGATTAGATCCAGACTTTGAAATACCCCTACGAGTAGTTAGTTACCTCTAATCGTTCTTACAAGCGAACGGAGATGCATTATTGCCTTCATGATCTTCACTGCTAGTACAGGTACCGGTATTCGCCTTCTTTAGCGGCAGAGCATGGTATACCCGGTATGCTAATAGACATACGATACGTACAAAGTCTATACAATTTCAACATCGATTTGAATGAAAGAACAATATGTCTGAAAGGGGTCAATTCGTGATCTTGATCCCATACCCACCACACCCTTCCACACCTTACCTATTGCAGATATTTGATGCATCTCTTGGAACGCAACTCCGTATCCTGACCCCCTGTGCTACTAGGGGTAGGTTATTTATAGAATATGTTCTCCATACCCACCAATCAGAACAATAACTTTGGAAAGATCGACCATTTAGATGATTTGAGAAACCACAGCCACACCACCCATGAAAAGTTTAAAATATTGAATTGACTTTGACATTTGATGACATTTGGCATTGACATTAAGTACCTGTGGTGATTATACTAGTAGGTACTATAAGTCAGTAATCAAGGATATTCCTACCTAAATGACCCTAGATGACTCTAGAGAAACGAAACAATTGATAAAAACCCTTAAGAGGATGATCAATGTACTAAGTAATCTAGAATTATCTTCTATAAAATAAGCAAAATATAAAAAAAAAGAGCCGACGTACCCAGAAACATTTTTAGTTCCAGTGGCTTGCGCGGAAACCCGCAATTACGAGATCCACGTCCAACTTCCTCCGTCAGTACAACCTCCAGCTTCTACAGCAAACCAACAAATCTCCATCGTTTTCTTCCATCCATTTTGTAAGGGATTTCCATTTACTGGCCTATCAATTTTCGCTGTGATCTCATTAATTCTTGCCATCTATCAAACAAATTTTGACCTTCAGTAGCGCTTGCCAACAAAATACACTTTGGGCGTTTTAGAAGGAACCAGGCATCATACAGCACGTTTAGAATTTTGAATAAGCTAATTACGGGCCAATTATTTATCTTCAGGCACTCTCACTCATTTGTGACGGCGACCACATCACCATGGCTTTCTAAACTAGTCGAGCAAATCATCACCTCGTATGCTTAGGCTTAACTATAGCTCGTCGCTGGGTACGGTCACTCGTACTACCAATGCCAGGAAATTCGAGATACGAAGCTCAGGTCAATGCGAATTTCTATGTTGACCATGATCGAACGAGTCGTCCGAATACCATATTGACGATGTCTGCGGCGGACTGCTGGGAGCAAGAAAGGATACGGGGGAGGAGATATAAAGGCGAACAGTACTCAAATCGAACGCATCCATCGCCGCCAGCCTCTGTCCATGAGCAAAGACATGTACCCTGTCCTTGGTTCGGAGCTTCTCCAAAGACCTCTTTCAGTGTCTGGGGAATTATTGTTGTGTTGATCTCAACGTTCTGGATCGCTCCTGTGTCCGCCGTATTCATAGAGTTCTCGAACTGCTTGGAAGAGAGTTACCAGGGTAACGAGCCTTATGAATTACAATTTGTTCCCTATTTCCTATGGGCAGTTTTCAATACCACCGAACCAACTCATAACCTTGCGGTTCAAGTATGGGGTGATGTTAAGGGATCGGGCCCGGGGTCACAAACATCTCGTCCACCTCTATCCAACGAAACAGCATACTGGCAGAGCAACTCATCCGACACCTACAATGGCAAGATTGCAGACGAACCAGAACCAACATCTCAGAAACTTACAACGCTCTCTAATAAAGTCACAGTGCTAACCTATGAGCCATACAATGATTATGTAGATTTCTGTAATCAGCTTGTCAACGGCACATGTCCTCTTGGCCCTTCTTTCAATGCATCAAGGTAAGCCATAATTCAAGGCATTTAGATTGCTCTCATGGCTAATCCGTTCTAGGTGGGATCCATACACTTTTCCCTCTTTTGGATTCAACAACAACTTCTACTCATCGTATGCTTTCACTTCGTTCACTACTACAATGGTGATCAAGAACGGCGATACTGCTGCTACCCCTATCGGCTGTATATCAGCCGATATCACGCCCGATATTGGAAGCAATTTAGCTGGGGTTGTAAAGTATATCCCTATGGTTGTGCTCGTGTGTGTGGGATTTGCAACTGCTTTCGCAGGTATATACAGTCCTTGGGGTACTAATGATATCTTTCGATGGACAACAAATTATGGCCGAGATGCCGATCTTCTCCGTTTGGTTACACCTGGCTTCGGCGATTGCTTACAATACATCCAATTCATTGCTCTTACCGGGGGCCTGACGCTCGACTACCCTGGTTTTTATCAACCTATTGTTAGTAAAGTCTCCTGGTCGTCTTTGATGTTTAACGAAAGCTTCGTTAGCAATACCTATAAAGACAGCCTGGTAGATGGCATATACGTAGTGAATGGAACCTATGGTCTCGATCGGATGCGACAGTTGATTGGAATGGGAGAAGTCGACGATGTCTGGGCCGGGATGTCCGTCTGGCTTCTAGCCATAATTGGAGTCGTCCTCGTACTTATTCAAACCGGTTTCGCAATGCGTTGGGTGTGGAGACTTCTTAAGGGCACACAAGAAGAGGATCTAAGGAAGAAAAACATGCCATTTTCTGTTGGAAATGTGATTCGCATTGTGTTCAACTATTTCTTGCTTCCCATCGTTGCTCTTTCAATGTTTCAACTAGTCGAGGCGTCTAAATCACCAGCCTATACGACCGGCTTGGCTTTACTGATGCTAATCGTGATTGTCGTTTTTGCCATCTACCTGCTATACCTCATTGCGACGGCAAGACCAAAATCCTATTTATTCGATGACCTTCCCACGGTTCTTACTTACGGAGCATTGTACAATACATATTCGGATAATGCGGCCCCCTTCGCCCTCGTACCGGTACTTCTGACATTTCTCCGCGGTATCTCAATCGGAGCTGTTCAACCTTCTGGCATTGCCCAGCTCGTTCTTCTTGCAATCTGCGAGGTCATCACGATATTGACATTACATGCATTTCGCCCCTTCCATTCGCCGACATCAATGAATGCCTACCACACATTCTTCGCCGCCGTACGTTTTTCAACCATTTTGTTAATGATAGCATTTGCTCCTTCACTCGGTATTAGTCCGGGGCCAAAGGGATGGGTTGGCTATGCGATTCTTCTCATGCATGCTATTGTGCTCATCCTTGGCTTCATGCTGAATGCAGTCCAGACGATTATCGAAGTTGCTGCCAGGCTTGCGGGAGCCGGGGGAGATGAGAGCGGGGCTGCTAGAGGTGGTCTGTCTAAGGTGTTTGGTATGCGACAGTTGTCTAGAAGGCTATCTCGCCGGGACGCCACATCGCGTCAAAGTCAGTTATCAAGTGCCGCTATGCTTTCCGAACAAGACAGAAAGTCATATTTAAGCGAGGGAGGCAGGCTTCGTAGTCAATCTGCTGGCAGTGCTGGTAACTTGCTCAACAGACAAAGTACAAATTTGGATGGTCTGGTCGTAGATGCTTTCGGTGCAATGCCTACACATCATGTCGGCAGCGGTGCGCCCAGCTCTTGTACTCCAACAACACCAGGGGAGGCAAGTACATTCTCGTTCTTACCGTCGGCTGCAGCGCCGACCGGTAGAGGACGTAATAAAGGTGCCATATTAAGCCTGGACACTACTGACGCAGCTGATCCTTACTATCGGCCTCCCCGATTCCGCCGGCCGACGGTAGATGCTTATTCCCCAGGGGCAAGGAGTCGAGGTTCGTGGGCTAGTGGTGAGTGGACCAATAGGCGATGGAGTCAACATGAATCACCACCCGCCGATCCTGATACCATCGAGCCGTTTGAAGGACCTTCAAGTTCTGGCCGTAACAGTCCGTCTCCACAACAAGCACTAGACGGAGGACCACTGGAGCTCAGCCGATCAAAAGCTGATTACACTACCAGAGAGGTTGACTTCTACTACGGAGTTCGTGGACCTGCTCTGAACGCCGAAGCACCTAGCCGAAGAATCAAGACTGGTCCAACAGATCCCACAGGAATTCCTGCCTCTGCCGCGGGCTGGTTCAAGGGCCTCTTCAAAGGTAAGACGAAGGAAAAGGGTAAAGGGTTCGAGGTGGTGAGAAGTTCAAGAATGCCACCACCAGGAATGAGTAACGCAAGAAATGCACCTGGCGATGAATCGCCGCCAGAGGGGATTCCAGTTGCCACGGGAGCGATTCGACATGGTCCGATTGACTCCGATTCTGATGATGAGGGTGAGCGGGCTGATCCGTCAGGACAAGGTGGTCCATCGCACGTGGATGGAGCAGGTTCTGACGATGGTGAATTGGTAAGCCCTATGGGATCAGACGATGGACAGAGCTACCATGACGAAGACGAGTTTGAGATGACTAGGATTTCTGATTTGCCTCCCTCGCTGCAAGGACTAAAGATTCCCGAAGGCGGTATGGAGTTGCCTAGTAGATTTCCTTCCAAAGCGAGCTCAAGAGTCCCTCATGGTTCCCGAGCTGGCGATCCGATACCAAATATGCCCTTAAGCCCTCCAGCTCGAATACCCACAGTTCCGCGAAGAAGCTCACGCCGAAAATCACAGAACACAAGTGTGGATTTAGCCATTCCTGGCAGTAGGCGCCACACGCCTCACAACTCTCTCACTTCGCGCCTTCCGTTCGAGAGGTCCAATTCCAATAAGCGACATTCCGACATATCTGCCAAATCTAGCATAGGACCGCATGAAGGATGTGGGCATTCTCGGAACACTTCTTTTGGCAATTTCACAGAGGCCTACGGAAATGATCGGCCAACGAGTGTGGGATATGTTTCCCAGCACCACATCCATACCATCAACCCTCCGGAGAACAACCCACAATATCTTGGCAGCTCTGCTGAACTGGTGGATGGACGGATTAGTGGAGGTTCATCTATTGATCATCCTCGATGATGGAAGGCTCTTTACGCATACATTTTACTTTTTCACTTTACTAATATACATTTGATCGTCACATCAACGAATTTCCTTGGTCAGAAAAAAAGTCTCTTGGTGTTTTAAAGCCATGTATGTACTGTAGAAAGGACCGGAGTTTAACATGGCGACGGGTGGATAGCGATGGAATTTTCATGGGTGTGTGGGAGGGGATAGCTGATTGTTTGAAGCGGATTGGGAGAAGGGGGAGGAAGGAATCCCCGAAAAATCAGAAAGGCATATAATTCACGTATTCTGTCTATATAATATCTGACATTCACGATCCCTTTTAATAATAAACATAGTAAGGAGAAGGTGATGAATGGGACGGGAGGAATTTGTGTGGTTGCTGGAGGTTAAGAAAGGAAGGGGGAATGGTTAGGCATTCATGATCCGATCCATTGGATTGGATCGAATCGGATCGTGAATATGGGAACTTTAATTATGGATGGGAATATGGGATATGGATAAATTAATACATATTGGTTTCGTAGTGTACTAGAGTATGCTTTGAATGAGAAGGGTATTCGGAGCTGTTGGGGTGGGAGGCGGGGGGTGGTTGAAGGATAGACAGATAGATAGATAGATGGATGGGTTGAATTATTCAATATATATCTACGAGTAGGTATCTAGGTGTATCAATACTCTAAATGTGTTTTGGTTTGAATATGTTTTGGTTTGATATATGTCGATTATTTTTTGATATTGGATAGAGTGAGGTTAATGGCTAGGTGGGGAGGGGAGGGTAGTTATTACTCAGTATAGCTCAGGAAGCTCATTGCGGCTATTGTTGTATACTGAGTAGTTATGTTTATAATTCTTGATATATGCTATAGCAACTGCATTATAATGGATATTTGATGATTGATGATTTAAGCGGACTTTTCGGATGAACATTGATTGAACTTTTGCAGACTAAAATCATCGTCATTCATTGACCCCGCAGCAGTCAGTGCATTTGAATTTGATGGATGGGGGGGAGGAGGACGGGGATGGATTCTTGGATTGGAATGTTTTTGCATTGTACTGATTACTAGGTAGGTAGGTATTGTAATTATCTATAAGTACGTACTTGAGTAAGTGATGTAATGTTTAGTAATACTACGAGTACTAATGAATAGATGTCAATGTTCTGATTCAAAGAAATTATTCGAAATATAGAATCATAATCTTTATTACAGATAACTTTCTGATATTTTGATTAATTAGATTCATTTGATACTTTATAAGGACTAATTGGCTGGTTAATCGATAGAATGAGTGGGGGGGGGTGGTAAGCCTGACTCTGAGAACTATTTGATTGTTAAATTGTCACGTTCAAGAGTATTCCAAGGTTTCTCGGCCTGAGAAGACTATTTCACTTGTCGGATTTCGGTTTAAACGTTGAAGAATAATATTATCAGAGTTTGGTATACAATTTATTTCGTATATCGCGTGCCAGCGGGAGCTTCAAAAAGTTAATAGACGACTCTCATGGTACGAGTATTCTTACATAAACATTCACCTATACGCACCCATTGGTTGATACAACTAAATCTTTCTCTCACAAACACACCAAAACACACCTCCACCGAATTGTGATATATCGCAAGCATGGTTAGCTTAGGACATGTTGTTCATCGGAGGCAGTCTGGTGCAAGTATGTATTTCCGTTGCTGGAATGTGGTTTATCGATGTGATATGCTATGCTTCACAGTGAACTAGACAAAAGAAAAGCATCGCTAATGACAATATGGAACTTCCAGGCAACCAGTCTTCCATCGACGAATCGAAGAGTTCTGATCCCGAGGACGAGACTACAGTCGTTGAGCCAGACCAAGGAAATGGTAGGAACCCATGAGATTCGAGAAGGGAGAGAGAATGTGCAGAGGCTGACATGGAATGGTATACAGTTCTCTCCCACATCATCTCACAACTTCGTCCTGGAGCGGATCTGAGCCGCGTCGTCTTGCCTACCTTCATCCTCGAGCCAAGGAGTATGCTGGAAAGAATCACAAAGTGCGTATATACCGCAACTTCGGGAGGAATGCAACGTGATGGGGGCAGGCATGCTGATAGTGTATAGCTTCATGGCACATCCGGAAACTCTTTTGCCCATGACGGAGGTAGACGATCCATTACAAAGATTTACTTCAGTTGTTAAGTTCTATTTGAGTGGATGGCACATCAAACCCCCGTAAGGCGGAATTCATCCTCTTAAGAGGAGATGTTGTGCTAATGAGATATCGTGCAGAGGAGTGAAGAAACCACTCAATCCTATTCTCGGCGAGATCTATACTTGCTATTGGCAGTTCCCAGACAATACCAAAGGCTACTATATTTCCGAGCAGACCTCACATCATCCTCCAAAGTCGAGCTACTTTTATATGGCACCAGAACATAACATACGTATTGATGGGTGCTTGAAGCCTCGAAGCAAATTTTTGGGCAATTCCGCCGCTAGTATGATGGAGGGGACTGCTATACTGAGGCTCTTAAATAGAGGAACTGGACCCAAAGGAGAACGATAGTAGGTTCCTTACAGCAGAATTCAGGTTATGTTATAGGGAATGATCAAATGCTAACTTGCTACTAGTGTTTTGACCCAACCCAATATGTACGCTCGAGGTATTCTTTTCGGCAAAATGAAGTATGAGCTTGGTGATCACAGTTTTGTGCGCTGCCCAGAGCTCGGATTCAGTGCAGATATTGAGTTCAAGACGAAGGGCTACTTTGGTGGAACATACAACGCTATTGGGGGTACAATTAAAAATGACAAGACAGGAGAAATTCTCTATGAACTCTCGGGTATGTGGAATGGGGAGATGTTTATTAAGAGCATTAAGGTATGGATTCCTGGACCCTTGACAATTATGAGATTTACTGATTGTACCTATAGACGGGCAAGAAAGACCTTCTATTCGATGCCACGAGAGCGAGACCTTCATCTCCATTGGTGAGGCCATTAGAAGAACAAGAGGATCGAGAATCGCAAAAGTTATGGCTGAAGACGGCGAGAGCCGTTAAGGAACGCAACCACGAAGTTGCGACAGATGAGAAGACATTTATTGAAGACATGCAGAGAGACGAAGCAGCAAAGAGGGCAGAGGAGGGTGTTGAATGGACTCCCAGGCTGTTCAGACCAGTGAGAGGCGGTCCCGGCGGTTCCGAAGAAGGTGAAGAAGATCTGGATTGGATCTTGAATGCCAGCATGTAAGTGAGGTAGAAATCGTTTGCCACATTTTCGTACTAATACGGAAAACAGTGATGGCGACAGTCCACAAAAACAGACGGAACAGATCCTTGCGGTTTATCCAATCCTTCCAGGTCAGATATCCACGGAGAAAAACCGTATTCCTCCACAGCACCACCAACATACCGAACAGGTCAGCCCAGTGCCAGAACCAGTATCAGCGGCAGCAGCCCCGGTTTCACTACCCCCTCAGGAGAAGCACAAGGAGAATCTCATTGATTTGAGGAGTAACTCGCCAGCGGCGGCTCCATACCAGCATGTACCAGCCGATCTCCACGCAGCCCAGACGCAAAATAACGGGCAGCAACAAAAGGATATCGAGCGTACCCTCCAGTCCACAAGTACTGTACAAGGCCAAAATCAGAGCTCATTAATTGACTTCCATGATGATCTCAGGAAAGATTTACCAGCAGCTACAGACACCCAGGGGACGGCAACCTCCGCACTGCATAGACAGGACACGGACACTCAAAGCCTGGACGAGTTTGTGGATGCTGAGGGATGACATGGATAAGGAAGATGCAGGGGGGCATCGGAACGAGATGAGCTGAGCTGGGCAATACTTGGTACATCCCAAGCTGAACAGCCGAAAGGAACCTCCTTTACTGCCAAATTTTCCTTTTTCTTCTATGGTCGAAAAGGACAGGGGCAGGGGATCACACATGCGCTTGCAGTTGCACTTGCACTTTTGGAGGCTCGAATATACTATTAGATTAGGCGGGCGGGCGTTGACCTTTACCTATGTTATATATGTTAGGGATTACCTGCTTTCTGTGGCGAGGTTACTGGACGGGAGAATGGGTAGAGGGATGAAATGGATCCACGGAATGATTACATGGGGAGGCGGATGCTGATATAATGAAATACACCAAATCTTTTCCAATTATATTGGAATTCAAATGATGTGAACATATGCATACGATTTTGATATCTTTTTATTTGCAGTTTGATCAAGCTATTGATGCCGTGATTATACATGGGCTTTTTCTTGCTGCTGCTGTGCTTTGCTATGCTTTTTGCTTTAATTACCCCAACTGATTGAAATGACTAGATGACCATCAACGCCTAATACGACTACAACTTCAAACGAGTTTTGACTTCTGCTTCAGATTGCATGTCTGAGAAGGAGCCTCCAGCGTGATCGTTCTCTCCCCACAGTGAGCTTTCCGCGACTACCCCAAAGTCTCACCTTGCCCATCCAACCCATGCCTCCAGATCACCAAACCACAGTGCCCAGCTCCATCTCCCTAATATCTCTTCCTCGTAGGCTCGGGACTCGGACTCCTCGTCACACTCCTCTCATCCCTGCCCCTCATTCTCAACCACTTCTTCGTGCTCAGCTCCAACTCGCGATCCAGCTCATCACTCGGGTTCTTGCGATGGATAAAATTGCAGAAGCCGCCTCGCACGCATCCCTCGCCGCTGTTCAGTCGACAACATGCTTCGCGGAAATCGGTCACGGGGGAGAGCTCGCAGTAGATGGGCCGAGCGGCGTACCAGCGCGAATTAAGGGCGTCGCAGGCTTTTTGCGCCGAATCTTCGTATTTGAATCGCGCGTAAACATTGCCGATTAGATCTGTGGGAGATGCATTAGTCACACATACTCTTGTAGTTGCGGGAAAGAATGGAAGGGCAAGGAAATGGAAGAGACATACGATCATTATTATTATCACACACAACGACCTCCTCAATCTCCCCAAACTTGCACATCTCGCACCAGAAATCTTCATAGAAGGCATCGAAGTGATTTTGCAACTGCGAAGCATTCATCTTGTTTTTGGGATCGTAGGCAGGGTTTTGATAGAGGTTGGGGAGGAGGATGGTTTGCGAGTAGGAGGGCTTGACGTGTTTGCGGGAACAGCGGTCGCCGTGGCGGCAGGCACCAATTTTGTAGTAGAAGGAACAGTTGACTTTGTCGGCTTCGGTACCAAAGATCGAGGCAAGGTAGTTGGCCATCTTGAATTTGGTGGGTGGTGTTTGAGGATGGGAGGTTTAGATCTGACAGAGATACTGTAGCTATCGGTCTATCTGTATGGCGTTCAAAGGCTTGGTTATATGTTTGTGTATGACAATTGCTGTATAGAAGGAGAAACTATCTCAAAATTTGATAATGATCTTCTGTTTAATGTGAAGCTTGTAGTAGAGAATTGTGGGTACCTGTTAACAGCAAATTCTCTGTATATTGTAAAGATGAGGCGCTTGTTAATGTTCGCGACAAGAAAGTTCCTGATATCTAGGATCGGTCCGAGCTTCTCAAATTAGCGTGCTTTGATCAGCCAGCTTGATGGATGACTAATCATAAAGTCGCCTACTTTCTCGATTCGGGGTCTGGATTTCAAATCAATCTTCACTCTCCCTCACCATTCCATACCCTTGGACAAGCTTCACAATGCATAATATGGACCTTTGATATCAAATAGCAGATATGTTCAATTCTGTGCAGGGTAGTCCCAACCAAAGTATTATGGCATATCCTGTAATAATTTCAATAACCATCCTCGAATGCTACTATTGCAAATACTGTGTCAAAACTGTTCTGCTCATCTTATGATTCTCATTTTGTGTCCAGATTGCTCCTAAGCAGCATTATTGTTGCATAGTTTGCCAAATGCTGTAGCAGCCTTCTCAAATACATTCTTCTTCTCGGCTGTGGTGATTACGGTCTTCTGTTCACCATCCTTTTCATACCGCTCGAAGCTATACAGTTCATCGTTGAGTTGCAGCTCCGATAGAGCGATGTTGTCATTGTCTCGTTCTTCCTCGATGCGTTGGACAACTCTCAGCTCCTTAGGTTGTGCGCGACCGATGCCCTGTTCGAAACGGATCTTTACTGCGACGATATTTCCTGCCGATCCTCCTTCACTCCAAGTGACCATTAGATCTCCCTTGTTCTCTGAAAAGGCCCATGGGTGAGCAAACATATGGGCAGTATATGCGAATCTCTGTATATGACCCATAGGGTATGCCTTCATCAGCTCGACAATTTCGAAAGGACCCCAAGGATTGACAGCTCGTCCGAACATTAGCTTGCTGTCACCGGTACGGGTGCAGCCGACGAGACCAAACCTGTATGGCGAGGCCTCTCCGAATAACTTTGTGTTAAAAATTTGACCATGTAAATAGTTCTTTAGGATTGGCCAGGAAAATATGTGATTTTTGGCCCAACCTCTTTCCCCGCCCCAATACTCCCAACAAGCTCTTGCATTTGCCAACTCTAGAGGTACTCGACCTAGCACCACATCATAATCCTCATTGTGATCGCCACCTTTGTGCCCGTAGGCGTATAAGTACTTTCCATCGGAAAGAACCGAGAAAGTTCCAAGTCGAGGCTCACTAGGCTATCATTGTGTTAGTAGGTTTTCACATTGCAAAGAGATGGAAAACTCGCATAAAATAAAATACGCTCGTTCCAACCAGCCATCTCACGCTTAGCTACAATACTCGTTGGATTGGTACGATAATCAACCTCCACAGAGGCTATGCCGACCGCTATGAGAAAGGTCGATCCATCCTTTCTAATCCCTCGGTGTTCGAAAAAAGTCCATCCATATGCTGCGGCACCGGTAATAAGATACCAAGCAATCCCACCAGTGGCCCAGAAAACCTTGTTGTCGTTTTTCTTGTCAAGTTCATCCTCGAAGCGCTTGAACAAGCTTGGAATTTGTCTCTCGCTGATTTCGATATTTGTTTCTGGTGGCGCCAAATATCTTGACATGACTGGGTTGGTGGGATTGGTAAGGAATGAGAGGGTGGAATCAGTTCTTCCTAAAAACTGGCCTGCTGCATTGTGACAGAATGTGTTGTTAAATTGGAATAACACATGTCCGTTTGGCAATGCGCTTGATCGTCCTCCGATTCTGGGATAAGAGTTTCCACTCTCTTGGATAGTGTTAAACCGTTAGTTTTGATGGTATTTTTGGATTGACTGACCATCGTATAGATGACCCATTGGAACAATATGCTTAATCATAGGGGGCCAAACAACGTACTGCTGGATCTCTGGCATTTCTCTCTGAGTCGTTGGAGTCATTTTGCAGAAGATGTGAAGCAAGAGTTCTTATTTTCGTAGTAATTATTGAACGGTGTGTGTTGCTATGGAGGAAGGTCACAGTTGAAGATAAAAGCGAAAGTTCGCTTCCGACAGCTCCTGCCATATTTGACTGGTTTAAAGATGAATTGCAGAAAGGTTGACCCTGATGGATACTAGAAAACATTGAGCAGCTGTTTATTCTCCCAGCGTGTTTACACAATACCTGTTTCATTCATTTAGAATCCCAATTAAAGTTCATACTTGACAGTTTATCTTTACAGGACTGTGAATGGTGTTGTATTTGATTATAATTCATA